AGATGCTCCAATCTCTCAGTGCTCAAGTCCTTCACATAAAATGACATGGAGTTTGGTTTGCACATACTGCGTGCACAGCTACCCATGTACCTGAAACCATTTCTAGATTACTCATAAAACCCAATACAATGGAAATGCCACGAAAAGAGTCAGTACATTGAAACACATGGAAAATTGGCAGGGAAATCAATCTCTGTGTGTTCAGTACAGAGGAGGCATTTCTTTCCTGGGATTTTCAACCCCTGACTAAATTAACTCACGGAGGCTCCAAAGGTACAGAGGCCATGGGGAGGAAAGGGCTACTGTTCTTGTCATGTGATCTCTCCAGACTTTTGTCATTCATGATATAAGAGCACCCACCCCAAACTAATGCGGAGGTAGAATAAAATGATTGAGAGGAAAAGCTATTGTACCTGGTGCACAGTAACTACATTGAACAGTCATCATTGGGACGCTAACAGTGGCCACGGTAGTGATGATAATAATGTAATAAAGGCGTCAGTGGCTTTTAAAGGCCAGTTACTCTTTGCACTGAATCCAAGTTTAAATATTTATTTCCTAAACCTCAGAGAGGAAAGGGACCTCGAGGAGCCCATCGCCGTGTTTGCTGAGGTTTGACCTTCTGTGGCTTTCACGTGGAAGCCTCTGGGTGGCTGGCAGTTCCCTCTGCTTTCTGTACCAGAGTCCTTCACGCAATGACTCTGGAATACCAGCCGTCTAAGAGTGCTGCATATTACCCTGGTATGTCCCTGAACAGTCCTTACCAGAGGGGAGCACTGTGCCTGTCCCATTCCTTCTGCGATTCCTGGGGTTGCAGATCCTGAAATCACTTCACTGTCTCTTGCTCATTTTCTCCCTCTCCTTCAGTTAATAGTCTCCTTGGCTATGTGCTGGGGAAGGTGCCATCCAAGAGGCATGTGGCCCCTCATCTCTGTCATCTGGAGCTGGAGCTCACGCACTGGGCTGGACTTGAGACTCGTGAATGAGGGGAGTTTATGAAGACCCAGATAACAGGCTGTAGGCTTCCAGGCTCTGTGTCGAGAGCTGCAAAGTGGTGACCAGAGAACTGCTTCTGAGACCAGCCCTTGCAGGCCTTCCAGTGCAGGGGTTGCTTAGGAACCAGCTCATGACGGTGAAGGGAGGCATGAAACCAGCCCAATAGAAGGACTGATAGCTGCTTGGCAACTCAGGGGCTGTTTTCTTCACGTGAGAGTGGGCTGATTCTGAGAGTTGGTTTTTCAAAGTGATTTTCCTATCCCTACCAACACTGATGATACATGCCCCTAAAAGGAAGCGGCCAGAGGGATTTCCCCAACAATTCCACTCTAGGTAGAACTTGAGTTCTGATCACCTACCCCTAGCATGTTGTGTTGTAAAGAGCAGCCTGTGATGTGATCCAAAAGAATAACACTCTGCACAACTCATTCCAAAACGGAACATGATGTCTATATTGGAGTGCCCTGGTGATGGTGTCCATGAGAGTAGACATGATGGTATAGAAGTAACTGGTTAGGGACGCTGAGCTGATTGGTGTAAATGGCACACGAGAAAGCAGGGGGCGGAGAAAGGTGGTAAGTAGTCAAGGCTCCACAGCTAGCACAAGGCAGATGAGTGTGGACCCTGTTCCTGTGAATATGAAGCCCCCAAGCAGGATGATCACTCTGCCACTCACTTCCCTGGTGAAACCCCAGCAGAGTCCTGAGCAGTGAGCTCAGTGGCAGGATAAGGGGGGAAACCAGATCCTCCTCCGGAGGTCTGTCCAGCTGTCTCTCACCTCTGCAGCCACAGCATTCTGACCTGCCAGAACTTGTTGGCTACTTGTTAAGTGCACATCTGGAAAAGCAGGTGGAAAGTTGAGCAGATGCCTAGAGCAGTTGCCTAATTACTGTGTCACGACGTTGCCCAGTGGTCTTGTCAGGAGCAGGCACGTGTCAGCTGGACATGTTTGGGTGTGTGTGCATGTGCACGTGGGTAAAGTTGTTGCTAGCTCGGCAGCTTTTGCAGTGAGCAAAGCCTGCATCTCCAGCTGCTGTCTTAATTCGAGGGCTCGGGAAACCCAGGGCAGGCACAATAAGCTTCCTGTTTGCAAGTAGCAGGCTAAGACTCTCCTTAGCTTCATGGTTTGGCAAACAAGGCCAGGTGGACATCTCTGGCTATGGATTTTCACCTGGTCATTTGTTGCTGGTCCTCTGCCCCGGGTAAGAAGGTGAGTGTACAATCTGGATCTCGCAGGAGAGTTTTGTAGCAAGTATGGTGGCGTGAGGATGACTCTCGGCTTCCACAACAGCGCATGTTCCCTTGTTGTACCAGTGAGACACCAACTTAGATTTTGTTTTTAGTGTTTTCCAGTTTGTTGGGTACATTCCCCTGTCACATAATCCCCACAGGCACCGAGAGCAGTCTCTATAATCGCAACTGTGTCACAGGGGAGGAAAGCAGGGCTTGGAGACAGCCAATGTCTTGCCCAAAATGTAAACGAGTATTGGCCCATGTTGGCAGAACGAGAGCCCACTGTGTACGCTCTGACGTGTTCACCCCTTTTCTGGTTAGTTCATGCTCTCGTTTATTTATCCATTCAATACACATTGAATGCTTACTACTCCTAGCATTAATTAGATGACAAAGAAGGAAGATGAAAATATAAAGTACATTGTGCTCCGTGATTAGAAGACTAATAACAGAATGAGAAAATCAATTATTGGCTCATTCTGTAGAACTCAACTAGTGGCCTTACTGCTCACGTTTAAGTCCAAATAAACCATATTAAGACTCTACCAATCACCTAGCCGATTCTACAGTTCCTAAGGACATGCACACCTATTCATCTGCACACCTTGGGATGGTCTGTAACCTGCCCTGAATCAATGCATGCCTCACTTTGAAATTATTTGCTGGATACCTGCATTTCCCTTCTTTGATTCCTAAAAGGGGAATTTTAAATATCTTTGTGCACCGACTCTACATCAGGCCATTTTCCAGCCCGAGTTATCTCCAGCAAAGCTTGGCCCTCACTCCCTTTGTCCTAATCTTCTGGGACAAGATGATGTCATTCCATATGGCCATCATTCCAACCATATAGAAGAAACTAAGAAGTAGCTCTTGGGTCCCTTCTGGAGTCAGTTTGTATTTTTCATAACAGATGGTGCCTTGAATTAAAAGATATGTGCCCACATGTCCTCTTTTCTTTACTACATGATAAGCTTTCTAAGTGAAGGAATTACGCTGTCTTTATTACTATACATTCTATGGAAGCTAGTACATCCCATAGTAAGTTAAAGGTGCTTGGTAAATATCACTCAATAGATGTCCCAGAGCGTCATAGCTCATCTCTCCAGAGATTCCTTTGAGCAGCACTGGACATTTCTCCCGGTTCCCTGCTCTGTTACAACACTGTTACAATACTGACCCTAAAGACCTGAACCCAAAAGAATGACTTTTCTCTGTTGCTAAGCATTTGCCTCCCTCCCATTTGGCTTCACTAGTCTTGTGTTCTCCAGACCCTCTCACTGATGGAACCTTTTCTGCTTGAAGTAATTTGGAGTCTTTGGTGAACACAGCATGGAAATCATCAGTCCACATCTGGCTGTGCTGTGTGCCGATATCTTTCAGAGGCAATTGGTGTGGGCATTGAACATTTCTCTCAACGGACTCTCAGAAGCTCGACCAATGTCAATGCCCCAGAGAGAATAGGGGAGCATGTTGATGGGAACTTTTTTGTTCACATCAAGGTCATGGGTAGGTTGAAGATCCAGGACAGGCGTCATCTGGGAATGGAGGGTGGAAAGATTCTTAATTTGGTTCATCAGGATTTTTTTTTTTTTTTTGGTCAGGCAATAAGACTGTAGTTATCTGGAGCTTTCCAAATGTTTGTTTTACACATTGACATGTGGAGTCAGCTCTTTAATCTCCACAAGTATTTAAAGGCAGACAATAGGTGTCTTTGGGGGGGATTTTGTCTTTGTTTTTTTCTCTCTCAAGACTTCTCATAGGATAAGGCTGCCACTGAAATTGAGTTTACTAGGTACCAAGAACTTCCACACATCTTTGGAAGTGTCTGTTTGTAGCTGGCATGCAGATGCTCTTACCCTTACAAGTGCACTCAGAGGCCGGAGGTCAGGGTCCTATATCTTCCTTCATTGTTTGCCGCTGTACTTTTAGAGACGAGCTTTCTCATTCAGCCTCGAGCTTGCTGTCTCCCACAGGCTGGGTGTCCAGAAAGACTGACCCATCCCGGTGGCCCCAGCACTGTTGTTACAGGTGCATGACACCACATGGATTGTATGTGGCTCCTGGGGATCTGAACCCGGTTCCTCACTCTTACCCAGGGAGTGCTTGATCTCCTGGGCCACCTCCCAGCCTTTGCTTATACTTTCTCCCCACAAGTGACTGGCTTCAGCTTGGCCCCCCAACAGGACCTAGCCTCTCCTGATTGCAGCACTGCCTGTTTCTAGCATCACCTCACCAGGGATTCAGGAGCTACCCTGAACCTCTAGGTTGGGCAAAATTAGTTATGCTGCAAAGCCCCCAGGGGCCCCTCAATCTCACTGTCCCTATTCCATGTGGGAATTGTTTGTATGGCTTCCCCTTGCTCCTCCAAGGCTAGGGCCTTACCACACTCATTCCCCCCGCCCCCGCCAATTTCTCTGGAATACCCCAAACCTTATGTAGGCCTTATGGTAGTTATTCATCAAAAGGGGCAGCCAGACATTTGACATGTGGCATTGATGAGCTGAGATGTGTGAGTCTAAAGTAGACATGGATTTTAAGTACTGGGCCTTAAAAAGTGAAATGTCCTTGTTAGTTATTTCACATAAATTGTGTGTTAAAATGACTATGTGTTAGCCGGGCGGTGGTGGCGCACGCCTTTAATCCCAGCACTCGGGAGGCAGAGCCAGGCGGATCTCTGTGAGTTCGAGGCCAGCCTGGTCTCCAAAGCGAGTTCCAGGAAAGGCGCAAAGCTGCACAGAGAAACCCTGTCTCGAAAAACCAAAAAAAAAAAAAAAAATGACTATGTGTTGAATATACTGAGTGAACTAAAATATACTATTAAAACTGCCGGGCATGATGACACACAACTTTTATCCCAGTACTCAGGAGGATTGCCTTGAGAGCAGTCTGGGGTACATAGTGAGTTTGAGGCTATACTGGGCTACACAGTTCTCATCTCAAAACAAATCAACTTTAGTTGTGGCGATTTTCAATGGGATTATCGAGCATTGCACATGACTTCCCTGGTATCCGTTGTGTTCTATTAAAAGTGCTGGTCGACCACACCACGGCACACAAGCTCAGGCAGTTACTGAGCTGTGCTGGGTCACGCTGGGGCTGCCTTTTCTTTTGGACCTCTGTTGGTGATTTAGGTGAAAAGTCTGCTCCTCATTCGGACCCTCTGGGCTTATCTTTCTCTGGCCCTATCTTTCTCTGGCCCTTTTATCTCTTCCCTCTGAGCTTGGGTCACCCCAGTATCACTGCTTTTACCTAGTCCATGTATCAAGGGCGTTGAGGCGAAGCTTAGTGGATGGACACATTTGTAAAGCTGTGGGCTTTTGAACCAGATGAAGAAATTCGTTTAAAATATCCAAACCCCAAGCTTGTGGAGAGTGTTCCCCACTAAAAGCCTTTGCAGTCAGGTACCCTTTCCCAGCAGGCTTTGGGAGACAGGCACAGCTTGTCCGGGACAGCCCTCCTCTCCTCTCCACACTTACATAAAGGCTCCTGTGAAATGGAGAGCCTCATTTTAAGCGCATCGAAGGTCGTGAATTTAAAACGGAGACCTTGAAATCTAGAAGCGCTTGCTTTCATAACGGTCTTGCGTTGCCTCTCTGGGCTATGATGGGAAGGGCGGTGCTGTGGGCTGGCAGACTGGGTGAGGTGGCAGTGCCAGGCTGGGGAGGGAGACTCAGAGCCACGGAGCTGCCCACTCTTCCACCTTTTCCTGGAGGAGGCAGCTGCCAGCAGTCCTTCAGCTCAGGGCCAGGCCACCCCATTTTCATGGCATAGTCTCTCGGAGGTTCAGAGTCAGGAAACTAGTTTTCTTACTGACCCTTAGCTTGTTTGGGGGGCTCTATCCTGCTGTGCTGGTTCCAAACTCCTTCTCATACCCTCTCACATCTTGGGAGGCAGATAGAGCAGGTGCAGGCAGAAGCGCATGCTCAGTGAAAGAGAGTCTCTAGGTAAATGTGAAGCCTTGGAGGGAATTACTTTTAAACATGCCATGAAATGGGTAACTAACTTGGAACATTATTTAGCTGTGAGCGGTCACATCAGCGCCTCACTCGCTGTAGCCTAGAGGGTCGCATGGGAAGAGGGCAGAGGGGAAATCTGAACCTGAGGATGCCTGGCTGCTCTTTTCAGCTTTACTATGGACAATCCTTGAGGGGACCAGGGGTCACAGGTCATGTACCTACTCAGGTTTTTGCCTGGCTGCCATTCATTCATTCACTCATTCATCCATCCATCTATTTATTTTTATGGCAGTGCTGGAGATTGAACCAAGAATATTTATTTCATGTGCTTAGGCAAGTGTTCTACTTTTGAGTTACATTCTCAGATTTCTCTCTCTCTCTCTCTCTCTCTCTCTCTCTCTCTCTCTCTCGCTCTCGCTCTCTCGCTCTCTCGCTCTTTCGCTCTCTCTTTCTCACTCACTCTCAGGCAGTAGCCCAGGCTGACTTGGAACTCACTATGTAGCTGAGGCTGTCCTTGAACTTACCCTTCGGCTTCCACCTCCCCTGTTCTGGGATGGAGCTGTGCCAACTTTTCACTCACTGATTGTCATTCCAGGCTGCTGTAGTGTGGCCCTTGAACCCCAATGGTCTATAGATGGCAGATGGCAACTCCTGACATTTACCTTCTTTATAACATCACATTCTTTGTGTTTTCGGAAATGTAAACAGGATGAGGAACGTTGTGCCTCTTGTAACAATGCACTCAGGGGTGTGTACAAGGTCACTCAAGAAGCGACAGCCATCGAAGTATCTAGATTCTGAGTTGCGACACTTAAGAGAAACTGCCACTTCCTTCTGAATGGTAACAGTGAAGGAGCAGTGTCTCCTGTCTGCAGAAATTTGGAATTTGCAAGCAGCACCAGACACTCATGCCCAGAAGAGAGGACTGGGTTCTTCCCAGGCTGTCCTTGAGGCTGGAGGAAGGGACAGGGCTGCTGGCGTGTGCTGGCTTGACGCCCTCTCTAACGAATACCATCTGGGCCAGCAGGCATTTTGATGTGGTGGCAGCATCCTGCTGCTGCCCATGCTCACATCCCTGGTCACAGACACAGTTCTCTTTTCCAAAGGGACCCATTGCTTAACCTCCAAGATGACACACAGGTGTCTTCTGGGGGCATCATTAGCATCTATATACCTGGGTGTGGGGGAATCATCACCCCCCTGTTTCTGGGTATGAACACACCTCCAGGACCCCAGGACACATCAGGAAGGTGGCCTGTTGTTGCTCCTGATGGCCAGTGTGAAGATGGCTTCACCCAGTCCTTGTGAGATAGTCTCTCCTGATATCAAGCCCCAGACTAATGAGAAGACTGAGCAAGAAAGCGGGCTTCCTACTTAGGCATCTTCCAGAAGTGGGTGGGTAGCACGTGGCTGGCCTCTAGGTGCCATCAAGTCTCAAACAGGTATCAGGGCTGTGACTGACCCTAGAGTGGCCCAGAGATGAGAGAAACAACATGGCATTTGAGCAAGGGCTGAGCTTAGAATTATGGAAGACCTTTCACTTGGTAGATAGAAAAGTTGGAGACCCCAGGCAGTGGTTGACCTGGCTTTGACAAAGTCAGAAGCTAGAACAGGATGCTTGAAGGCTGCCCCTGTGCCTTCTTTGGAAGATGTGGGAGCAGGTAGAACCAGCAGGTCTTAGCACACATTGTATTCTGGGAGCCTAGAAAACACATCTTTGCCTATAGCTTGAGTTCGTTGGCCTGTGGCAGCACCCAGGCTTTGTTTTATAATCTTCATGAGTGAATCTGTAGTGAGTCAGGGTTGAGAATCAGAGAGCTGTCTACTGGCTTGAATGCTACCAAGTCACATGTAGAATCAGTGCAGCACACAGTTGTTACTGGCAGGAGTACATGCTTCTCACTGTGATCAGATATCTGACAGAAGCATGTAAGGGAGGGAGGGTGCATTTTGGTTCACAATTTTAGTCCACCACGGCAGGGAAGGCATAGTGGCATTCACGGCCACGTGATCACGCTGTGGGTAGAACCCTGCCACATCTTATTGAAGCAGGAAGCAGGTATAAGAATTAGAAAGAGGATCAGGATGGAATCATTAGGCCCCACCCCTAAGTCCTATATCAGCTAAGCCTCATGTCCACAAGGCTCTAGAACCTCTGCAAATAGCACAGCCACCTGGGAACCCACTCTTCAAACAAACATGTAAGCCTCACAAAGAAAAGGGGGAAACATGAGCAAAAGAGTCTATGTGAAACTATCAAAGGATGTGTGTGTGTGTTTGGGAGGCTTGCCTCCTGGGAGGTGTGAGTGGGAAGCCTGCCTCCTGGGAATGTGTGCTCTCCTCTCTGTGCGACAATGGCGTCCACCACAGTCCAGTGAAAAGGGAAGGCCCACGGTCGCTTAGCAGGGTATGTAGCTGATCCAGGCTAGAAGGGAAGCCAGGGGTCCTTGTGTCCCAAAGGGACACAGAAGGAAAAAGAGACACAGGGAAAAGGGAATCTTTGCTCCTGTGTGCTCCAAGGGCCAGGGGGCCTCAAAGCCAACTTGGAGCCCTCTGCTTGGGAGCGACATCTCCCTGCCCTGATGTCAGCTGTCCTGCCCTAGAGGAGTGCCTTGTGCGTGGCTGGCACAGTGCCCTCCTCGCTGTCAGAGTGACTCAGATCCCCATCCTGGCGCTTGCCTGCTCAGGCAGCACAAGCTGTTCCTTTGGCTTGTGTATACGGAGCCGGAGCCGGAGCGGCACTTCTCTCTCCAGGATGGAGGCCAGCGAAGAGAGGTGTTCCTGTGGTGTCGACCCTCTCCCCTCTCCCCTCTCCCCCTCCAGGCACAGGGGTGGGAGAGGAAGGAAGGAAAGCCGCAGTGCAGGCATTGCTGAGCTTCTTTACTCTGCATCAAACTGCCTAGCCTGGTCCAGCCTTGTTCAGGGCATGCCCAGCAGGACACCAGGCATTCAGGACTAGTGACCAGGTGAGGTGGCGCTTGAATGGAAGACTTTCCTGAAAAGTTACCAACACAAATTGGGCCAGGTGGACAATTGCTGAGGGGACATTGACAGTGACTGTCTGGGTGTATGACACGGCCACAGGTCATTCTGCATGGAAAGGGTTTAGACAAAATGTTCACAAGACACTCCTTAGCCTTTGCACAGCCTCAGTGGCCCTGGTTCCTTGCACTCTCCAGGGAGCAATTTCTCTTACCCTCCCCCCTACCCTCTCTCCCTCTTCCCCTTCCTTTATGTATTTTGAGCTTTGAGATGTTAAGTTAAATGCAGAAGGTCACATTCACATACAAGTTGAAGGGCAGAGTTGAAAACCCAAACCAAGTCTTCTTTGGTGTATTTCATTTTCTTTTCGTGGGGTTAGGGGTGGAACCCGGAGCCTGTGTATGACAGGCAGATGCTCTCCCACTAAGCTATACAAGCCTGGTCTTTGAGTACCAAATCCTGTGCTTGCAAGAGTGGGGTTCTCTCTCAGCTATTAGCACTCGTCTTATATAACTGTCCCTGCAATGTCACGGGATGACTTTGGGTGCTTCAGAGATGACCCGCACTTTCAAAGGAGAAGCTTATGGGTGACAGTGGGGGCGGCCCCAAGGCTGAAGGACTGGCCATTCACTGAGTGCCATTTCCGACTCATTCTGCCCTCCAGATGCTTAGCCTAGCATATTGTTTTAGATTGAACCACATAAAATCACCATTTTTGATGGTCAGGAATGGTCACTTAGTGGTCATACTTTAGAGGTTAACTGAATACAGCAAAGGTCCTAAATAATATGATATGTGATAGAGAGCATCTAGGGACTCGGGGTTCTTTGTTTCAAAGCAACCATGGCTGCCTTGGTCTGTGAGACTATTGCCTCAAAGTGTTAATTAGGTGTCATGTATAGAAGAACTGGCCTGGTTGGTTGCTTGTGAAGTTGCCCTTCCCCTTCTTGCATCCTTGCCCTAAGGGTTTACAGACCCCTCTAGGAGGTGCCTGGGATCAACACTTGTGCTTGCCTCGGAGTTAAAGTGCCCTAGCTGGAAGCATCAGTTATGTTCTCTACCTGCTCTGTGACCTTGGGTGAGTCACTCACTAATCTCCCTACCACACAAATGTCTCATCATGGGAACAAGAATATTAACGTACTCACCTCATGGAGTTGTGGAGATTATGTAAGTTAATGAAGGCAAAGTCTTTAGAATAAGGCTGGTGTGTGGAGAGCGCTGTCACTTTTCCCTGCTGCTATTATAAATATTCCTAATAGTCCCACATCTCAGATGAGAAGGGCATGAGCGTGCTCTTGACACAGAGCAGAAGCTTCTGTTTCCTACAGCCTCAGGGTCACGGGGTAGCTAGAAACATGGTGTGCTCCTTCTCCAAGTACAGCTGAGCACCTGAAGGAGGCATCTGCCTTCAAACCCTTCACAACCGTGCCACGGGTTAGAAGCTTCCAGAGCAGCAGTTATCAACCTGTGGCCCTTTCACAGGGGTCGCATATCAGATATCCTGCATATCAGATATTTACATTATGATTCATAACAGTAGCAAAATTACAGTTATGAAGTAGCAGTGAAAATAACTTTACGGTTGCGGGTCACCACAACATGGGGAACTGTCTTAAAGGGCCTCAGCGTTAGGAAGGTTGAGAACCCCTGCTCTAGAGAAACTATGCTCAGAGAAGAGTTCTCTCTTCTGAGGGAACTCTCATCCACATCTGGGGTGAGAGGCAGAAAGATTAGCCTTGTCTTCCCAGGTACTTGTTACCAGCTCACTGGATTGAGTGAGGCTCTCCAAAAGATTGTCCAAGAAATAGAGACTCATGACCAGTGTCTCTTTACCTCACCAGATGAGACCCTTTGAGGCAGTGTGGGGGCTTAGTTCATAGAAGGCCATTTCTGAACTACTAGTTCAGGGTTCCCAGAACTGCCCCACTAACATGATTCACGGGGCCCAGTGACAGTTGTTGTATGCCTAGTGATGCTTTGTTACTGGAAACAGGCCGGGACAGATCAACAGCAGGTGTCCCTGTAAGAGTCCTGAATCTGGAACTTCCAGATGTTTTCTCCTTGGACTCAGGACAGCATGACTTTCCTGATGTCAATGTGTAATGATACACTCGGACTGCTGACGGACAGGGCAGCCGCCTTTGGTGTCCAGGCATTTCATTAACGCTCCAACCGGTTTAGCATAGGCGACCTCCTGTGTGGCTCCTATCAGTCTCGAGATCTGCCTCCTCCCCCAGGCAAACTAACACAATGTGACCCAAAGCTTCCCCTTGACATCACATTGTTGCTGAGGCTCAAAACCCACATGGCCAATCACATTCCAGTTCCCCAAGCAAAGACGCACCTGTGAGTGTGATATTCCAAGGGCTTATTGGTTTCCTCCTAGAAGTTACAGGTGAAGCTAGAATTCTTTAGGTAAAGGTCCAAGTCTTTACTGAACATAGAGGCTATGGGGGCACAGCTAACGAGAGAGCTCACAGTCTATGGGGAGAGACAATCAGGTCTTCAGCACCTATGCCTGTGGGATTGTACAATTGCCCATGACCACCAGGAGGCGCTTCAGTGAGGGTCGGTGTGGCTTGTACACTCTGGAGGGAACAAGGATGGTTGGTCTGAGTGTCAGAATTCCTGCAGTCTCTAACCATTTCTAGGAAGGAAGCTCTCAGCTGTTCCTGGCATGCTTACCAGTTCCATTGGCCCCGAGGACTTCTCCAGGCAGTACCCTCACTGACTTTGGGGATTTAAGGACGGGTGAGTAGGGAGAACAACTGAGGATCCTGGAAAAAAATTGAGATGTTCATTATCTCAAGAGTGATGGATAGGACAGTGCAGCTGAGCAAGAGTGGCTGAGTAGGTCCAACAGTTTGTGGACATGGTTACATAAACTACCGGAGACCTTAAGCCACCTTTTGCTTCTGGTCTTCCCTTGGAAACTACTTCCTCTAATGACGACGGCGTCTGCAGCACAGTATCCCTGAGATCAGTGGGAGCAGGCATTCTTCTTTTGCTCTGAGGTTTTTGGCCACTGCCCTGGTTGCATCTGCAGTGAGGGGGAGGGGTGTCCTTGGATGTCTTTTGTGCCCAGCCATCTGGCTCCTGGTCTCCACCTCACCTATTGCAATCTCAAACTCCCTCTATTCTTGACCTCTCCCCAAAACCTGGATGGAAACCCCGATGAATGATCCTTTGACCTCTGTCCACGCAGGCATTTCATATTCTGTGACTGGCTCTTATCTTCACTCTCTGGACTCTTGGGGATGAGAAAAACTAATTCAGAACAGTGGTGGTGGCTGGCAGCCTACAGGATTGGCCTTGTGGGAGGTCTGTTAAGTCAGTGAGGACCCTAGGTATCACATTTCAGTATGTTCCTCGGCAATGATGGCCATGGTTTTTTACCCTATGAATTTTCATATCTGACTCCATATTGCCCCGAGGGTCTCTGAGGGGGAACTGAACAGCATAGACCATGCTTCAGCCCTCTATTTGATCCTAACAGCAGCACACTCCTGCTCTTCTCCCTAAGAAGTAATAGCAGCAACCACTTCTTCATGACTTACACTCTGATACTTTGGGGGGGCATTCTGAACAGTTTTAGACCCTTGTATTTGGTGATTTAGTCTTCGGTTTGTTTGTGACAGATTCTGATGGAGCTCAGGCTGCTGCATCTGTTATGTAGCTGAAGATGACTAGACTCCTGGTCCTCCTGCCTCTGCCTTCCATGAGCTGGAATTACAAATATGCACCACTGTACTGAGCCTGTGATTTGGTTTTCAAAAATACATTTTGGTGTCACTGTATTCCACTCAGAGCATCAAGAAAAAGAAAACTTGGCTCATGTGGTTCACAAGAATTCACTGAAAAATTATCATAAGCCTGGCGCAGCAGGGCTCTGAGAATTCAAAGCCACACAGGCAAGGTCACTGTACCTAGAAATACAATTCAATAGAGGAGACAAGTGTGTTAATAATTAACCAAGTGACTGATGCTGGGTGGGGGCCCGCAAGGAGAGATAAGGAATTGATTCTGTGGCTAGGAGTGGGGATCAGAGAGGGGTCCCAGAGAGGGAGCTGTTTCAAGCAGCCTTTGAAAGAACACAGGAGCTGTGCAGCTGGAGGAAGAGAAGAGCTATTCCAGGCGATGGCAGACGCGCAGACAAAAACAGGGAGGTGTGAGAATGCATGGCATTCACGGAAGCAGAGCCAAGGCCACCACCCACTGTTGCGCCAGTTGTGTGCTACACAACTCCAGGGGAGGCCGCTGTCCCAGCTTGAGATGTGAGCAGCGTAGATGGTCATCTAGTCGCCCAATAGCCGGTCCTAAGGAGGGCGGATGAGGAAGAGTCCTGAGAAATTCTGCTCTTGTTTCATCTGTTGCCTTAGCTGTCAACGTGCAACTGAGCAACAACAAACCCTGGGTGAGCAACTCTGGAGGCCTTGGGGTTTGATCATGAGCTCTGCTTGCTGACTCTGCAAGTACAGGCTCCTGAGGACCTGGGCTGGCAATTACCAGCTGTGCTGTCCGGGGGCACTGCTCTTCACAGCATTAGTTTGTGTATCAGTGGAAGGTGGTCAGTGGATTGAGGGGCCCCACTCGTCATCGTAGACATCTGAGGGTGGAAAGACACAGTACTGACCATCTAGTTAAGCACTCTCTGTAAATCAGGAGCTGCGTTACCTGAAGGAGAAGACGCCCCCTCAAAACCAAGAGTATAGTGGGTAGCTGTTCCAGCTTTGACCTAGAAGTACTAGCCCCACTGAGGCTTCTGGTAACTGTCACGCCTATGAGGCAGGGCAGAAAGAGGAACCCTTAAGACCTAAGATCTGGATATGCTGGCTCTCTTGTTTCCTGGATCCTGGATGCTGGATGTAGACTCAACAGACCGCCGGACTGCGCTACACCATTCCAGGACCCTGTAACCTATCCCTTCACTTGTAAGTTACCCCACAACATAAACTTCCCTTTTAACTACGTGGAGTTGCCTTAATACTTCCACCAATACAAGAGCTTGGAAGTTTCTGAGCCTGGAATAGAAGCTCAGTTTCCTACCTTGAATCTCAGCACCGTTATCACCAGAAAGCCAGGAGCTCCCATGAAGGACCAGGAATATGTTCTCCTAGTTCTAGTGATGGGCAGTCTTTGAAATCAGCAGACTGGAGGTCCATTCTTATCACAGCCCCATGCAGGCTGGGGGACTCTCTTGGCTACGGTGCAGGGGTACAGGGGGCTCTGTGTTGTGGTTGAGATCATGGAGAAAAATTGCCCACTCTTAAAATCCATGGCTGGGGAGTGGCACACGTCTCAGTGAGAAGAATCCCAGAGCCTATCTAGAAGCAAGGAGTATGTTTGTGCAGGAGATGTAGTCTAGCTCTACGCCAGGATTCTGGGATGGGCTTAAAGCATCCCACAGACCCAGCCACAGTCAAGATTGTACAGTTGCCCTAACATTGGCAAAGCAGTGACAGTCAGCTGAATATTTATCTGCTCTCTGCATGAATCCTCCAACGCCCCTCCTCATGGTCCCTCTCACTTAGAGGGACCAAATGCACAGGCCCAAAGGTAGATGCTGTGTGCGTTGAGTTCTAAGCACTTCCTCACTGCAGGTGCATGGGAAAGCATGGGTTGAAGACATGCCTCCCATTGGATGGTGCTCCTGACAGCAGCCTTGGAATTAATGTTCTTGGTGGTAGATGCTGAGCGCCCTGGGACTGGAGAGGGCAGGGTAGAGAAACCTAGCTTCCCTTCTGTGTAGTTTCTGTCTGTCAGTCACGCTGGCTTTTCACTTGCCAGAAAACTATTTATTGTTATGAACAGAGGGCCGTCCCTTAGATCTGTCTGTGAGTGAGGAGCTGCATGCTGGCATGTGTGTGTGTGTGTGTTCATTTCCTGTTGGGCTTTCTGCCTTGTTTCCCCTGAGGTAAAGAACAGAAAGTAGTGTGTTTTTCTTTCTGCCTCCAAGGCATGTCGGTTTCATGACCCGGAGAAAGCATTGATTTGGACAGAGACACTAATGCATCCCTTGTCCCCAGAATCTCTCTCCTGAGGTCCTGGAGACCGCTTGATTCCTCCAGACCTCTCGAACCCCCTTCTCTGGCGGAGGTTGGGCTCTTTCCTATTTCCTCTGTTACCTACCTCCAAAGTTCTGACTCAGCACCACTACACATTCCACCCAGCTTGCCCAGCACATGCCCTGTACACCTTCCTGCAGGCACCTCACAAGTGTGAAAGAGACACGGAAGACTTGATTCATACCCATCCCAAACATGTGGATGTACAGCTGGTACTGCCCCAGCTGACCAACTCCCAGTGTTCAGATGCAGAGCCTCGTTGCTATAGAAACCATGTTTTAGCCCCAGGCTCTCATCACCTAGCCTTTAAGCCCTTTTGAACTAGCAGCCTTGATTCCAGTGTGAAAGCCTCGGAACACTGAAGATATTTCTTTTCTCAAATAAGGACATTTAGGTCTCTGGAGCTCCTTGGTGGAAGCTAGATACATTAGTTGTGGGAGTGTTACATACAGCCTTCGTTCGCTCCCCCTTCCTCATCCTCGTATCAACATGACGTCGGTTACTTTTCCCATGGCTTGACAGAAGCAGCTTAAGGGAGAAAGCATCATTTTGGCTCACAGTTCGAAGGCCAGTTCATTACGCTGGGGGTGGGCGGTGGGGACTTGAAGCAGGCTGCACACATTGAATCCACAGCCAAGAAGCAGAGAATGTCATAGATGTATGCTGGTGCCCCGCTCCCTGTCTCTCTTTTATACAGCCCAGGCTCCCCAGCCTGAGGGATGCTCCAGCTCACAATTAATATGGGCTTTCCCACATGAGTTAATGTAATCAGAATGATCCAACAGTCCAGAGGCCCATCTCCCAGCTGATTCTGTCAAGCTGACAATTAACATTAGCCACCACACATGGCAAAGGTCAAAGGTGACTTGAATATGTCTCTGTCCATTCAGGGGTGCAGGCTAGTGGCCACTGGGGTTTCTTGCCATCATGGTCATGTTATTGGTGGCACTTTGGCAGCTTGGCTCCAGTGACTGTATGAGTTCACAATTGTGCCAGGTGGTATACAAGGTACTTGGCATATATCAATCACCTCACTTATCTCTCCTTCACTTGTAAGAGATAAGCATTATTACACCCATTTTACCTGAGGTTTAAAGGTTAAATCACCTTGCTAAGGCACCAGGTGAATGTGGGCTAGAGTTTAGGAGTCGTGACACCATCTCCATCACAAATATCTGCAGAGGCGGGGCTATGCAGAGGACTGTCAGGACACCAATGCAGTACCCAGGAAAAGGAACACTTAATTCATTCTCACAGGGGAGTCGGGGAGCCTGACCCAGATAAGACTAAAGTTGAGCTGGTGCTTAACACCTAGGTGGCATCCCTGGAATCCCAGGCCTTGAAAAACTGAGGGAGGAGAATTGAAAGTTGTAGGCCAGTCATAGGTACACAGCAAGACCCTGTTCCCCAAACCTACAACAGACAAACAAATAAACTGGTAATGGTAATGCTGGCAGGGGCCTCGCAGGCCAGTTAAGAAAAAACAAGGCTTTGGAGGGTAGGGCAGGGTCAGGGGAACCCACTGGAGTGGTGGGAGGAGCTACTTACGTTTTTCTGCACTTTCCTTCCAAGTGCTTAGGTTAGAGAACTCCAGAATCACTTGCATTGTTATAAAGAGCAGGGTTCTTCCCTCTCGGTTTGCAGCTGGGGTTGTTAAGCCTTGCTTGGAAGTACTAGAACCCAGAGAGTTCCCTAGCATGGAGCCCCAGGAGGTTTGGTCACAGGTCCTCAGGGCACTCTACCTGCAGCAGGCCAGCAACAGAGCCCCAGGAACGGAGAGCTGCTGCTGTGCTCTCACACACGCCCCAGCTTCCCTTCTTCCTGACCCTTGGTTTCTTGACATCACAAAGCAAAGTCGGTGTCCTGTAATCTCAGCCCCAGCTTGGGTTGTTGTGTCTAGATTCCCAGATCTCTTCTCTGCAAGCAGAGGCAATAAAATGGGGATAGGAGGGAGGGTCTGGAATCCTGGTACGTCCATTCCCACTAGCTGGGTGACCGGTGTTCTCTGCCCATTCTGCACTGGGCTCCGTGCCTGGCGGTGTGATTAGTCTCCACTGTTGTGGCCTTAGGCTTTTCCTCTGAAAATAACTAGAAATGAGCCATAAAGCAGCTAGTGACTCACTGTCATTAAGCAGATGATGTGTTATTGAATAGCCACGTGGTGATGCTGCAGCAAGCGGAATTCATCCACAGTCATGGCAGGCAAGATGGAGAGCCGGCAAAAGGGAGAGCCGCCCAACTGGTGGCATCCTGAGACTGTTGGGACAAGTCAATGGCGGCAAGACATCTTCTCCAGGGGTGTTTACGGCTGGGATAGACTTGTGGACTTGTAGGAGACATGGGGGTACACCACAAAAGGCTCGCCATAGTCAGAAGCCCTACTTCCAAGGAAACACTTTGCAGCTGGGTTTCACCCTGCAGGCCCACCTCACAGGGAACTTCTTAGAAGGTGACTGTGGGTACAGTGGTCTGGGTGGGGCCTGAGTTTGTGTGTTTATAGCAAGCTTTCAGGACTAGCTGTGGCCCCTTCTGGTTAAAGACACATTGGGAGCAGGTGGCCAAGAAGAAGGCAGCAGGGTTCTCCCAGAAACAAAAAGACTTGACTCAAGTATGACTTTCCATGCTTCAATGTCTTAATGAAAATATCCTAAAGTACCTCAGGTGGGGGACAGGGAGGACCTAGGATGCATGGCTTCTGTTGAGAAGGACAGCTAAGGACTGCTGAACGGCACAGCCAGCAGAAAGACCCAGGAAATCCCCAAGATCTGATGCTCTACCGAGCCTGTTCAGCACTGGCCAATCACTGCTTGGACCATACCGTCAGGTGGCATCACTCCCCAGAGGACCCAAGGGTGGCCTCACTGAGGTGGGAGATGTGACTAATTCTGATTTTACTCCATCCTCCACCTGGGCATAGCTGTCAGCCAGCATAGTCTGGGGAGACAGGCATTCTGAATTCAGGAGACATCGGTGTACAATCTTGTCTTGAGTTATCCTTTGGTGATGTCTGGAAGGTGTGCCCTTGGAGGTTTTAAGGTCGGTCCTCACAGTGAGATGGGACAGACAGTGATGGAGCAGGAATATGGGGACAGAGACATCAAGTGCTAGCAGAGTGGGACCCCCCTCCCCGGGCCAGGGTGAACCACACAGGCCCTCCTGCTTACTCTCCATTCACATCTGCAAAATGAATCCTCTTTTCAACTGAAGAAAAGAGGAGATTTCACAGGTTGACCTATTTGTCACAGATGCCAAATCACTAGGACTCATGCCACAAAAGACCCCAAAATCTAGATGCCCCAGGCTGTTGATTTCCAAACCAGTTCTCCATCCTTAGGGCAGGGAACTAGGAAATTATTCCAGAAAAATAGTGCTCAGGGTTAGGGAGTGAGTGGTGGTCAGTGGCATGGCTCCTTGAACTTCTTGCAATCTGAGGGGCTCTTTCAAGTCAGATTATGTGGCCTGCCATAGTCATCTAAATACCCAATGCCACCCCTTTTACACCTTAGTGTCTAGAGAGTCATACTCCACAGTGACCCTTGAACCCTAGGCCAGAAAATCTCAAGCTGGTCCACTTTTGTTCTCCAACCCCCAGGGGACATCAGAAAGAGTCTGCTGGTGTTTGGGGCTGTCACCCCTTCCTTAGTCATGTAAATCTAGTGGATAGTGGCCAGGGATGCAGACAAACTCCTACAAGGCACAGAACAGAATGACTCAGCCCAAAGTGAGGAGAAGCCTTTCTCTAGGTAAGTATTCCTGGGGTTCAGGGCTAGCCTGGGGAGCTGTTGCACACACAGCAAGGGTAAGACTTTGCAGAGAACTTGCCTCAGGGTGAGACACCAGGGCTTAACGCCTCCCCTTTCAGTGGCAGTCAGTATGAGCTCTCTCTGCCATCTGTCACTGTTGTTCACCTTTCAGGCTGTGGTCAGGCTTTTTGCCTGATGTCCAGGTGGCTTTAATAGGTGGTTGTGAGCTACAGAGGAAGCAGGGAGACACGAGGTCTTCCTCATGTACATTGTCCCGCATTCATGGACTTCAGCCTTACCCGAAAGTCAACACAGCCTATGACATCAGCAGCTCTGGATAGTGGCTGTGTCACCTCGGGAAGAGAGTCCACCTCTTTGTTCTCAGTCTCCTTGCTTGCAGGAGGCACGGAACCAGGCTTGCTACCCATGCAAAGATGAGAACAGTGTAGGCATTCAGGACATGAATACTGATGTCAGCACCCCAAACTTCAAGTGAGTGCTTGGTTCCTCTACCGCACATGGACTGAGCATGCACAGGAAGAGCAAGCAAATCCTCACGCAATGTCTAGGAGCTGAGCAAGTGGAACGTGGCAGTCTTGGCGGAGGGTGATTCGGGATGTCAAGGGAAACAGTTGGCTGAAGCTTGGCACCTACTCCTCTCTGCATGTAGGTCTTGGATTTTGGTAACCATTAGGTCTGAGGGGGATGCTGAGGTGAGGTGGTAGGACCAGCTAGTGAGGACAGGGAGTGTGTCTCCTGGACGGATGCTCTTGGTTCTATCTGAGGATGCAAGACTATAGAATCAAATGCATTTGATTCCCAGACTATACTTTAGTGCTTTGAGGAGTCTTGTTTTGCCCCTTTTCAATTGTTCTTAGCATCCATTAGATGTGAATATGCCGGCAACATACAAATACTGTTTTATTTTTCTTTGTCTCTTGCCTTTTCCCCTAAAGGGTTGGAGGCAGCCAGAACTAATGACAGGGTTGACATAGTTATAGGTATAGGTGTGGACCTAGGTGTGATCAGCTTACTGAGGCAGAAAAACACATTCACGTAACAAGGCTTTGATGCTTGGCCACTCAAGGTCACACAAAATGTTCGTGCTGTGTAATTTCTCCCACACTCTCTCTTTTTACCTTTTCTGGTGAGAAAGTTGAAGACAGATGAAATAATCATGATGAGTAGATTGGTTTACAGCACTGATTTAAATTTTAGTCCTGATATATGGATGAGAAGATCCTGCAGGGCCAGTGCTTCCGGCCTTTAGACTGGCCTGACATGAACTACTCCCAAAGGAGAAAACATGCCACTGTTCCTTTTCTTCTTATCCCTAAATATCCTCTTACCTAGTGCTTACAGAAAATTCATGGGCCCCCTTTCCTTCTGAGGGTCTGGGTGCTGGTTTTCGGTGCTATAGGCAGACAGATCACCTATGCAGACTCATTCACCCCTGCTCCTGCTGGTGTTCAGCCTGTCTCTATACATCCATTAAAAATAACTATTATTTAGTCATTTTTTCCATCCATTCATTCATCCACCCACCCATCCATCCAGTGCAAAGGCATGTGGTTGGCACATCACTTGTTTAAGCAAACTCAGATGGCTGAGTCTTTCACCCTCTACCCCCTGTAAATGCTGAGTCCTCCCATGCCAGGGTGAGGCCTGTGGACGGAGCTGAAGTGAACAATCCAGGTCACACAGAAGGAGCATGTCTGTGTGTAAGGAGGTATGGGCTGTGTGAAATGTCAGAAGGGAGGGTCCAAGCAACTCCGTGGATATACCAGTAGAGCCACGCTTCAACTCTAGGCAGTGTGAGCCCTCAGCCATCAGTCCAGCTCTGTCTATTCTTAGTCACAGGCTTGGACTTGTGCATGGTTCCATGGGCGTTCTTGGCACCAGTTGCTCAGTGCCTCACTGGGTCCTCCCTGTGCCTCACCGGGTCCTCCCTGTGCCTCACCAGGTCCTCCCTGTGCCTCACCAGGTCCTCCCTCCCTGTGCCTCACCAGGTCCTCCCCGTGCCTCACCAGGTCCTCCCCGTGCCTCACCGGGTCCTCCCTGTGCCTCACCGGGTCCTCCCTGTGCCTCACCGGGTCCTCCCTGTGCCTCACCGGGTCCTCCCTGTGCCTCACCGGGTCCTCCCTGTGCCTCGCCGGGTCCTCCCTGTGCCTCGCCGGGTCCTCCCTGTACCTCGCCAGGTCCTCCCTCCCTGTGCCTCACCGGGTCCTCCCTGTGCCTCACCGGGTCCTCCCTGTGCCTCACCAGGCCCTCCCCGTTCACTCTTTACAAAGCTTGTCTTTCCTTGGCTTTGGTTGGGTCCGTCACTTGGCTGGATCACAACATCTTCTCTTCTCTGTCACACTTACCTGCTCACAAGCACAGTCACTCACATGTACGTTCAGGTACACTCAACATGGGCACAGTTCAAACACGTTTATTTAGATAATTCACCTATACAGGTAAACGCACTCACATACACACATTTACTCCTGAACACACACATAGTCCATTCACATACACACATTTGCTCCTGAACACACACATACTCACACTTCAACAGGCACGTATACTTGCTCATATGTGTATACACACACACACACACACACACACACACACACACACACACACACACACAAACACACACACATTTGTGAATGTGTATTTATATACATATACACCTTTGGCTGACCAAAACTTCAGAAAGAAGCTTTGAGTGAGTACCAACATCTTCTAGAGTTTTCCGCTTCCCCTGGTGACAGCACAGATGAAGGGACTCTGGTTGAATGCTCTAGGGACTATGCCATTCTGGATAATGCATTTTCCTGGTTGTCTGGAAGCTCACGAGAATACCGGCCACCTTGGTTTTGTTTGGTGGTTGTTTCGTTATAGCAAGCAAGTTTGGCAACACCATAACTATTTCCCTATCTTCTTGAATTTTTCAATGAGCTGAACCTGACTTCAATTGATACAGGCTCAGTAGCATGGAAGACAAAGTTTCCTTATCACTTGAAGGACATGGGCTTTGAGATGAGACACATTTGGTACTGGTATTCAGTTTTGAGTGCCATGTATAGGCCCTGCAGGTTTAAAGTTCTGGTTTAAGCCGGGCGGTGGTGGCGCACGCCTTTAATCCCAGCACTCGGGAGGCAGAGCCAGGCGGATCTCTGTGAGTTCGAGGCCAGCCTGGGCTACCAAGTGAGTTCCAGGACAGGCGCAAAGCTACACAGAGAAACCCTGTCTCGAAAAACCAAAAAAAAAAAAAAAAAAAAAAAAAAGTTCTGGTTTAAACTTGATCTTGACATCATTGACCGCTCTATCGAAATGCAGACAACCATATTTATACTGTGAGATGCCTTTGAGAGCTGGGATTTACATGGGCTTGAGCTCTGGGGACTCAGGGGTGAGGTACTGTAGGAAATTCTGCCCAAATGTGTTGTGATCATGGTCTCATGGGGTGGGTTATTTAGGGTGGGTTATTTATGGCAGAATTCTCTATTGTTGAGTAGAGAGAAACTTCAAGAAGGAAACAAAAGCCTGTTCCTGGGCATCTTGGGCTTCTAGTGGCATTCAAGGCAAAAAAGATTTTGATGAATTGTCAGGCAGTCACAAACACATGCAGACCAATGCTGGGCCTCCAAGATCTCCAGAGTCAAGGGGAAGAGAGGAGCCAGGAGGCTGGTTCAACCAGGGGGCAGAAAGCTTAGAGTGCAGAGCCAGATGAGGACAGAGCCAGGCGAGGGCAGAGCCAGGCGAGGGCAGAGCCAGGCGAGCGCAGAGCCAGGCAAGGACAGCAAGAACTGTGCTGTGGAAGGTTCTGCAGCTCCTGAGGCTATAACTGTGCTCCTTTTCAAGAACAGGATTCTGTCCAGGCAGCTTAGGAGAGGCCAAGCCGCAGCACACAACCTAAACCTCATCGACCGAGGCCACTTAATCCCTTCCTTCTCTTTCTCTTATTTAGAATACCACAAACACAATTCTAAGGAATACTCAGGACCAGACATAAAAAATAGAGAACCAAGAAGCCCCTGGCACCCAGTCTCCTGGGTCCATTCAGCCTTTTTTAATGATTAATTAATCACAAATTAGCAAGCACGCAATGAACAATAGGGAAGCCAGGCTGTGTCTTCTAGTGCTTCTAGACATGTTACAAAACAAACCATCCAAGGTAGAACTACCTGCCTACTGAATGCCAAGCATTCAGTGGCGTATGGCAGAGTCACAGAGGAGCCCTTGGGGGACTCAAAGTCTGCTGGGGAAACAGGGGACATCCTAAGAAAGTCACCACTGCATCCACTAACGAGTGCAGTGCAAGGTGATTGTCCAGCCAGTCAAGTGTCAGCAGCCTGCTAGACTGGGAAGCCAGCTAGTTGGGAATCTCTTCCTCCTTCCTTAAGAGAAATCCTGGCTGGACATCCAACGTCTCCAGATACCCGGGAAGGAGATTTTAAAGAAGTCAGGACATGAAAATGGAAGGAGAGGACATCCTTTCTGTCCTAAATCTTGGAACATGGGGACTGCTATTGTCACAGGGAAAGGCCACAATACTTTTGTCCCAAGAGCTTCAAGTGTGTGACATTAAAAGATACGTGAGCTGGGTCTGCTCACCCCCTACTTCCATGTGCGTCTGGTAGAAATTGGGCCACTGACAGCCCTTGCTTCCCTTGGGACCATCCTTAGGCCACATCTCCAGGCCAGCGGCATTTCTGGTATGTCCCTCCCTAACAACCCACAGGCTATGTTCAGCCTTGACTTGGTCTCCGTTTTCCTCCTGTGACAACTGTCAACACTCTATCATCTCAGCATCCTCTCTTGGGAGAAGCCTCTTACGTTTAAAGAGAGTGTTTCCCTCCATAGCCCAGGCTAGCTCTGAACCTGCCATCCTCCCCGTACTAAGACTGCAGGAGTGTCCACCTTGTACAGCTTCGCATCTGAACTTAAGCGCATGCTTTAAGGTTATTCTGTAGCTTACCTTTCCTTTACCATCTCACCCCTCAATACTTCCCTTGAGAGCAATTCTCTCCTTCCTGTTCTTTCTAAGGGCCTGAAACACTGTTGCTATAAGGAATCAGTTCCAACGTTGGGGATAAACAAGCATCCATTTAAGGCAGGGCTTGACGGTATACCTGGTAGTTGTATAACTTTGCGTGGATGATTTGTTTTCTCTGAGCTTGACTCTTCTGTATCATCAGACTTATGCTGCCATAAGTGCATCTCATGTCAACTAGTACATAGCAGGTGGCTGGAACTCTAATGTGTCATCTTCATTTCTTTACACACACACACACACACACACACACACACGCACGCACGCACGCACGCACGCACGCACACGCACACGCGCACACGCACACACAGCTTGTACTAATATAACATTAGTCGAGTTCCCGATCTGCCATTCTACACCTGGCTAGCCATTTCAATAAGTCCCATATTATTGAATACGCTCCCAACTGTGTTTGTGATGCACCTGCTGCTGCTGATTTCTAGATGAGCAACCGAGGCAGAGATTGGGAAGGAGAACCAGGATTCCACGAGGGTACCTCTCATACCTTTGCTGTCACCTCTGGCACTGATCTCAGGTCATTCACTTAAGACACCTGGTCCATCAGAAGAATGTCCTTGGAAGTAGCATGCTGTGTCTGGGTTGGGAAAGGAGGCCCATGAATTTGTTATCCAGGATGTTGCCTGCTGGTTGAGGGCAGAAAGAGACAGGGTAAGGGTAACTGGGCATGCTTGCTTGGACTATATACTCTGTTTCTATGGAATTTCTTACCCTCAGTCCAGGGTGGGGAAGGTCTTACAGGACAGGTGGTGAGTTGAGGAAGAGTGGCTGATGCTGAGGCTCCTCTTCCAGAAGGTGTCTGTCCATGGCAAATTCATGAGCTAAGAAGTGATCTTTCTCTAGATTCAAGAATATTACTAAGCTGTGACAGAGCTGACCAATACCCAATGATCATTCCTGAGAGAGAGAGAGAGGAGAGAGAGAGGAAGAAGAAAATGTGGTGCCAACTTTCGGCTCCTTTCCTGTTGTTCTATAAAGTCAAACAGTCCTTCTAAGTGGGCATCTCAGCTTTCAAATGGTAAACTGAGGCACAGAGAAGGGCCTATGTTTGCCTGGGTTTCACATTATACCATATGTCAAAGGGTGCAGAGGTATGTTCCAGCTGCATACTTGGGCTCTGTGCCTGAACACACAGGAGAACCACGTGGGCTCTGCCAAGGGCGAGCTCTTGACCTAGGCAAAGGGAGTCAGGGGATTATGGGGAGGGAATGGAACTCCGATCCTCATTGTTCATAAGGTCTGCAAACTCTTCTGATGTTGGTAGTCCAGATTCACACTGTCGTCTTCCGGCTCCATCAGGAAGCTGTGGCACTGTGTACCACTGAGGCACTGTGGTAATCTACTCTGGCACCTGCCACTCCCTTAGGCAGCCCCTCCTTGGGACTCAGGCTGGTGAGCTGCTCTCACCCCCACACAAGAACCATTTGAAGGGTTAAAGGAGGTGTGGATGGGTACCATGGTCTCTTCTGTCCTGGGATCTTCTCTCTCTCCTTGATGGCTGGGTTCTTGGGGCAAGGCTGAGCCAGTCTCCTGTCCCAGAACTTCTCTGCTGGGCCTAACTTGACTGCTCTCTTCTCAGGGACCTTCTGATTTGAAGCCCTGATTCATTCTCTCTCTCTCTCTCTCTCTCTCTCTCTCTCTCTCTCTCTCTCTCTCTCTCTCTCTCTCTCCTGTCTCCCAGTGTCCTCTACCCCCCCCATGCCTCTCTGGCGCTTTCTCCCAATCTCTCGTCTAATCTCACCCCACTGAGATCCCCAGCACACCGCCTGCAGGATTGGAGCTGGGAGGTGGTGACTAATGTGCTTGGAGGTGAGTCATCCGCTAAATATAAAACCCACTCACATCCCTGGATGCAAAATTTCTGAGACTCTGCATCCTTCTCTTTCCCCCTCCCTCCTGGGGGGCGGGGCGCAGAAAACAAGTAAACACCACGCAGCTGCAGTGGTAGCAGCATCCCCCTGTGCCCTTCAGCTCTGTCCTGCCAAGGCCACCAATGCCCCTGGTCTATACAGGTCCTCTGAGACAAGGAGCAAGATGGGGAGTCTTGACCCAAGAACTGCCGGGCAGTTAAGGAAGCAGGCATTTCTTCGGGATTCTCCCCTCCTTCAGCTTGTGCCCTTTTGTGTCAAGTGGCCTCAAATTGCTCCTTCTCCTGGAAAGGTAGTCAGCCTCTAAACACATTCACGCTTGGCAGAGTCCAGGAAACACTCCTGTGTGCAGTATGGAAAGGCAGAGTTTGGGTGCAGTGAGCCAGGGTGGGTGACACCTACTTCTTATGCACAGTTGGATTCTTATTAGGGCTGACAGCTTGAATTTTGAGTTCTTGTGTATGGACGGGGACACACACACACACACACACACACACACACACACACACACACACACGCGTGCACACACACACATCCCTTTTGTATATATACCGTATCATTGACTATATACGTAAACACATATACACACACATCCTATACGCATTTAATAGTTGATATTGCTTTTGTGTCAGGTGACATTTTCACTGTCTCACATGGAGTTCCTCCGCTAATGTTCTTATATACTTCTGAGACTGGGCCCCTCAATATCCTCACTTTACAGATGTGGAGACCAAAGTTCTGCAAGACTCAAGATAGCTGTCTCAAAGAACAATACCAGGACCGACAACCTATATGCCTGTGTGTCCCATGTGCCTCAGCTTGCAGGTTAAACTAGAACTCTTCAGACTTCTGTGAAAGTTATCTTCTAAGAAAGATATCTTCTGTCTCAGTGTGTGTGTGTGTGTGTGTGTGTGTGTGTGTGTGTGTGTGTGTGTGTGTCCACATACACTTATACATGAAACATCATTTGAGAGAAATAGCACTAATCCTGACTACCTTCACATTTAATGTCTTCTCTGAATTCCGTTCTGTTTGACTGTTCCCTACTCTTCGGAAGCCAGCTTCATTCTGATGGCACTCTAATAGTTACAGCGTCCGTCAGGTTTGCTCTGTGGCCCTCTAAAGGTCATCCTGCACCTCTGAAAATCATTGAGACATCGGAGTGCGCTCACTCCTTCAGGGCATAGTGTGAGAGCTGAGTCCCAGTCCTAGAACAGACTTCCTCTGTGGCTTTAGACAAACGTCTTCACTTCTCTAGGTCCCATCTTCATAGACCCTGTTTGCCATGGAGCCTTACAGAACGGCCTGGAGACAGAGATCTTCCTTTCCTATAACCATCACAGACTGAGATGAGGTGACCTCCCCAAGTGTGAGTTGACATGTACATGGCTTATGTGTGAGGTAGGGGAAACCCAGCAGATGGCCTGGCAGGTGTCCATTCTGGCTTGCAGGGCACACTTGGACTGTAGCACAGGGCATAAAGATGACACAATTTCCAACCTGGGAGCTTTTGATTGGGCAAAATCTCACACTTTCTTATGTAAAACGTTCATTTCATTTCCTTCCACCTCTTATATTTATCCTTTCTTGGGTTTGGAGAAGTCCAAGGCAAGACCATTTTAACTGAGCTTAACAGATAAATATGGACAAAGAAATGCAGAGGAGTCATGCATGGGTCAGAATCGTCTTCCCAAATGGACCAGGCCTACTTTCTGATCTCTGCTGGGTCACTGAGTGGCTGCATGAGTGTAGAGTTGATAGTCTGAGCGTAGTCGGATAGCAGGCACCTAGATGGGTCTTCTCCTGCATACAGCTTCTAGAAAATGAGATGCTACAACTGAGACAGGAAGGAGAGAATGATTTTGAGAGAGAACCTCTCACGAAGAGCCCAGCAGTCCCGAGGGTGGGAAACACTTCATTTTTAATAGTTCAAGGAGCCTGCCATTCATGTGTGCTTGTTGATGGGCGTGCATCTCAACCTCCTGCTGTGGCTTGTCTTGGGGGGGTTGTTTGTGGGAGATTCACCTGCCTAAGTGTCATAGAACTGCCAAAGCACGCCACCCATGGCCATCACCTAACGTCACTCATGAGGTCCAGAGGAGACATGACTTGCTTGGATCTCACGGAGAACCAGAGACTCAGAACTCTTGTGCTTGCTACTTCCCAGATCCCAAAGGTCGGGCCAGCTCTGCCTCTAAGGACAGTCTGGGTGTGTATCCAGCCTTCTACCTCTCTGACGCTGCATGAGGCAGTGGAAGGATGGTCTGTCCTTCCCAACCGCCAGGCATCACAGGTCATCCTTGGCCAGGGAAATATGCTTCATCCTGCATGCATTAGTCAGCTTTTCGTGGCTATCGGGAACTATCCGAGGGAGGCTAACTTTATAAAGAAAAGAGGTTCCTTTGACTCCCAGTTTTAGAGCTTTCAGAATTCAACAGCATGGCCCAGGCTCCGGTGAAGGACGCACGGCAGATGGCGGGAGTGTGTGTGGGAGGAAGGATCACACCTCAGACAGAGTGAGATCGAGCCGGGTTTTTATAACAGCCTTCCCACAAAGACGAACCAGAGACCCATGAGAAGCATCCCAGTGCTTCTTAGGAAGGCCCGTTGCACCGACGTGAAGAGCTTCTGCTAGAAGTAGCCCCATTTTTGCATGTATACATGTGTGGCATGTGTGTATACATGTTTGGACATATCTGGGTAAACGTGTATATAATATGCATGTGTGTGAGAGTCAGAGCAGACTTGAGTGTCTCCCTTGTTGACTTTCCACCTTACATATAAAGGCTGGGTTTCTCGTTGAACCCAGAGCTTACCAGCACAGTCTAGCTAGCCACTTAGCTCCAGGGACACCCTGTCTGCCTCCAGAGTGCTGTGGGTGCTGGGGATTTGAACTCTGGTCTTCATACTTGCTCACAAGCACTTTTCCCACAGAGCCATCTCCCTAGCTCCTAGATTCCCACCTCTTAATGGTGCCCCAGTACTTCCCAACCATTCAACCCTGGAGAGCAAACTCCCAACACACACAACCCCCTGGGGTGGCGAATAGCACCTCTCTGTAGCACCACTTCTCTGAAACACAGCTTCCGTGTGGGGCTTTGTGGGAGGGGAGTGCTCATATGAGTTATCTGAAGATCCACATTTCCTCAGCATCCTCCGCTCTCTGGAAAGGATGACCAAGCTGTCAGGCTGGTAACCTTTGCCCTTCACTCTCCTCTGGAATAGAAGGAGTTCTGAGAGTGTCTTGGAATTCTGAGGCACATAGGATGAGAATTCCTCTCACTTATGCCCAGGTGCTCCTCCTCTCCTACTGTCCCCCCATCAGAAGTCACTTGGAGCCTAATTTTGTAACTGGGTACTGAATTCACACTCTGAGAAAGCCTTTGAGGAGTCATCTTGGTCCCGCTACTCTGTGAGACAATCCAGCCCCAGCTGATGATCAGACCCTCTGAGGAAACAGGACACTATGCTACCCCAGAACCACAGTAGAATCTGGGGACCTTGTTCATGGATGTTCTCTTCCTCCCTCCCTGAAGCAGGGGCTGCTGCCACCCTTGTCAGGGACTCCTTGTAGAGGGGAAAGGAGTAGTTCAGATTGTCACAGTGCAGGAAGATGGGCCTGCATCTCTAGAGGCTTCTGAGAGATGCTTTTGAGAAAGGAGCAAGCATGCCTCTGTTTCCTTCCCCCCAGAAGGAAACATGCATTGCACACTTGTGATGGACCCCACGCTCTTTTAGAATGTATTTGCTCACAGTGTCAAGTCTGTGTCTCAGGTCTGTGTCTCAGGGGAGAGGTGGGCACCTGCACACTACCATCTGCCTGACCCATGGCAATGCACACAGACATGCTGTCTGCCCCGGCCCCCTTCCTGTCTATTCTGGAGAACCGTTCTATGGCCTTCTCACGAGTTCAAGCAAAGGAACCTTGTGGAAACTTCCAGTGCCTTGGAGGAGGGAGGAGCATCTGCTTGCAAAGCCTTCGCTGCAGCCGCTGCTCCACAAACAGCTCTGCTGGGCTGCGCTCAGGTCGGAACAGGCACCGCGGACTGAGAAGTGGGATGCTGTTCACTCAGGGAGAAAGGCCTGTCACCTCATGGGTGCAGAGGAAATGGCTCTGTAGAGTGGCCTTGCCCAGTGGCAGCCCCTAACCATGTGACATGGTTCTTGTGACCACTGTATCATCTGGGAACACAAACTTGCTCTTGGCATCAGAGGCAGCAACTAAGCAGTGAGGGAGGGCTCTGTGGTCTGTGAGAGAGCGTGTCGATGGACTTACCCTGACAGCGAAGTCACCTCTCAGCTACTAAGTGGAAGAAATGTGCCTGCATGACCCTCCGTTTTTCAGGACGTCTGGCCTCTGTGCCACCTTTACTTCCAGGAGAGCCTGGCTGCCTGTACTCACCCAGGCTGTTCGCCGTGGTCCCTGTCACCGGTCTCCTGAGCTGTGTCCACTTCCCCTGCTGTGAATCCCGATGAGATAGGAGCTAAAGAATAAAGCACAGAAAATGAGACTAGCCTGGGGCTTGTCCCATATGGTCTGAGTCAGTCCTACCAAACCCTTGAAAAGCGGGACCTTAGGGCCACAGTGTAGTTTCCTTTCCTCCTATCCTTGTCAAGTCTGGACTGCAGAGCGGCCAGAATTGCATCTCTGGGAGCCGGGAGTGATGAGGTGACTTCCAAAGAGAAGCGACAGAGGTTAGAACTCCCTGAGTGTGTGTAGATCCCAGAGAACAGGACTGGGTGACAGCATAGCCTTCCACTTCTGCCTCAGAGACGAGGTCATGAGGACCAGGACCTGGGTGACAGCGTAGCCCTCCACCTCTGCATCAGGGATGAGGTAATGAGGACCAGCAGATGCTGCCTCCTTCTGTACTATCTGAGTGAGTCCAGGGCCTGACCACCCGCCTTTGTAGACTGGCTGAGAACATTCGAGGAGATGAGACATGTTTGGCAGTTAGTCATGTTTGTGTGTGACAACCTCCCCTGGGATTCAACTATCATCTCTAACCCTCAGGCTTCACTCCTTCACAAATCCCTGTTCTCGAGGTTGGCAGAAGCCAGACCACTGTGTTGGAATCCCACTCTGGTCACATTTCAGCTGAGTGACTATCAGCCACCCTTACTCTCAGTCCCTTGACCTAAAAATGTGGCATGACAATGCTTATTGCTACCTCGAGGGGCCTGAGGATCAGTTGAAGTGAGCCGAAGACACAGGCACCCAGGACAGTTCATAGGCGCAGCTGGGAATCTCCATGCTCCAGGGCACACAGTGAGGGCCCTCGGCTTCAACTTAGCATGCAGGTTACTCCACCTCTTAACAGCTTTCTGGTTGGTTGTCATGCCTCCCTCACTAGGGAGCAGCAAGGTGTAGGAAACTGACTCAATGCTACCTCTCCATTTTGGTGTTGTTGCTTGGAATCGAAACATGGAGAGGGTCTCGGTGCTTTGGTTAGGGGATCCCAGTGCCTCAGCAACGGAACAAGAAGGCCCACTTCAGCCCATCCTATGCACCTAAGAATAAGGACCTAAAATGTCCGTCTTGTGTTTTTTCTCCACATGGTACCTCTGTGGCAATCCCTGAGTTGGACAGAGCCATTTAACATTCGGTTCAGCCTGATGCCCAAGGTGCCTTTGCAGCCGTGCCGGCGGAGTGGCTGGTGTTGCCTTGAAAATACGGAAAGTATCTGCCCCCTAGTGGCAAGGTTAGGAACAACCGCTGCTGCTTCCTACCAGGCTTGGCAGCCTGGTGGCCAGACTTGAAGTCTGCGGCATTGGGTCACAAGGTGGGGACACACTCCAGGTCCTAGTCTTGGGTTTCACCCACCCACTCTTTCGCTAATTTGTTTTCACTCAGCAAACATGGAGTGCCCACATGTGAGAGTACAGCTCCGAGCAGTAGGAATGCAGCAGTGGCCAAGAAAGGCAGTGACTCTAGCCACCTGGCGCCCACCTCTTCACTGAAATGTGAAATTGATCAACTGTACACACAGAAGTGTAGCTGGAAGTTTACCTGTGTCCTGCAGCTGCTCAGTCCCAAATAAACATGCAGTGGCGTATATTTATTACAAACTGTTTGGTCTATGGCTCAGGCTTATTGTTAACTAGCTCTTTTATCTTAAATTGACCCATTTCTACTCATCTATGTGTTGCCATGTGTCTCTTGGCTTTACCTGTGTTCCATTACATCTTGCTCCTCCAGCAGCTCACAGTGTCTTCCTTGACTTCATCTTTCTTCTCCCCGAATCTTTGTTTGGTTTTCCTGCCTGGCTTTAATCTGTCTTGCCATAGGTCAAAGCAGCCTCTTTGTTAACCAATGGTAGCAACACATATTCACAGCATACCAAAAGACCATTCCACAGCACAGAAGCCCAAAGAGCTGTGAACCAAGCAAGAGACTGCAGGGCAATGCAGCTCCCCTGCCTTAGGTTCTAGAAGTTTAATAAAGAGGCAGCTGTATACAAAGAGTAAGGTCTTTGTGTAAAGTTTTCCTTCTTAAGGAGCCACACAGGCTGAAGGGTGGTTTTTATAATACATGGTGCTGGCTCTGCACCTTCACGTGCAGAGGAGTGACACTGGACCCAGATACCACATGCAGAAATAAACTCAAAATGGATAAAGACTCTTGTGCAACCCTAAAAGCGCCTCTCTAATAGAAGAAAACAGGGAATTTCTTGACCTTCATCGAGGCAATGATTATTGCCCCCAGACACGGGCAACAAGTGAAATAGACACACGCATTGCATCAAACTAAGACACTTTCGTATAGTCAAGAAACAAGCACCAAAGTGAGGAGACGGACTGCAAAATAAGAGAAAACATTGCCAGTCATAAGTGGCTAGGGGCCTAGTGTCTGCAATGTGAAAGGAACACAGGGTGCTTAATTTTAAGTAAACAAAATGCCTGACTGAAAATTGGGGAAACTGTCTAGAAAAGATCTTTATTGGAAGAAGTCATGCACATGGCTGAGAGGTATATGAAAAGTGAGTATACTCACTTATCATCAAACACATAACCCCAAACCATGGTGAATCACCCCTGCACCTCTGTTAGAATGCCTGTGATCAAGAAGACAACAGCTAGCCAGCATTGGTGAGGACGTGGGAAGACAGCGGCTACACACCGTGGATGGGGATGCAGAACCAACCAGGAAGATCAACCCGGAGTATTTTCTTTCTAAAAAAGAATTAAAAACATGTCTTCCTACCCTCCACATTATCCCACTTTGGGGTCATTGTCTACAGGAAATGAAGTCTGCATGTCAAAGAAACACTGGCCCTCTGTTCATTCTAGTTCTGTGTAGTGTAGCCAAGGCCTAGAATCATGGCATCTATTGACACATAAATGGATAAAGGTGTGTGTGTGTGCGCGCGCACACACATACAAACAATGGGGCATTTTTTAGCCTGAAAAGGAAAAGAAATGCTTATGTGCTCTGTACTACATGTAGACTTTGTGTTAAGGAAAACAAGCTAGTTGCCCCAGGACATAATATGTGCCTGCATGGGTGTGTGCATGTGTGTGCACACATGCGTGTGTGTTTTCATTTATGTTAAGAACCTAACGTTGTCTTCAGGTATGCAGAATAGAAAGCAGGATGGTGAGAAGCTGCGGGTGGGGACTGGTAATAATATCTTAGTGGGTTCTAAGTTTTAGGTGGAGAGAGCATGGTGATCGTGGGTGATAACACTATTGTGAACTTTATGCTTCCTAAGACATTCTTAATGTTTTCATGACACACAAACTTAGTGACAGAGATGTGAATTAGCTGAATGTGCTAATTATTTCACAATATCTGCACATATCAAAGTGTCACACTGGATACTTGAAAAATACACCTCAAGAAATCTGGAAAACCAAATTTTCCCCTAAAGTCACACAGATAAGCCTAGGTACGCCTGGAGTTGACACTCTGTGTCAAAAAGCCAGTGTGGTATTTGCTGGGGCTCAAGTAGGGTTCCTCAACTTTGCATTTCCCTTGGAGATGCAGGAAGCTCCCACCTTTATTAGCTAGGGGTTGATTACTGGCTTCCTACACATTCTGTTTTAACGTGGTGCCAATCGTAAGACGCCACTGTGGGAAGAGCCTTGGAAGACGGGGGTTAGACAGTTGGAGCCTGTTTCCTCCACTTAGCAGTCTTGTGACCTTGGGCCTGTCATTGAAAATCCCAGTTTGGCCTGTTCCCCTCAAGCCATGCTCCTAGAACTCATGAGTCACAAGTGAACTGGAGCATGCGGCCCCTTGGGCTTTCTGTCGCCATGTGGAGCTCTAGTCCAGCCAAGCTGATGGTCTGGATTTTGGAAAGGTGGCTCAAAGACGCCTCTCCTTTCATTGAAAAAAGAAATAAACTTTTAACAATGAACTTGACACATCTCACTCAGATCCAACTGTACACTAGTATCTCAATCATCTGTGGCCGTGTAACAACCCAAAATTGCAAGACTTAAGAAGACAATATTGTGATGTTTCCCTTGGGTTCTGAGGTTTTATGGGGCTGGATGGGGGCAGATTTTCTGTTTAATCTGATTGTTGCTGGAGCTAGAATGTCCACAGTGGCATCTTCACTTACATGTCTGGTCCTCTGCAATCAGCCAGAGGCTGGCCAGGCATTTCTCTTTGATAGTGACTCCACCTGGGTCATTGAAACTTCCATGTGGTGGCTGAAGGCTGAAAAAACTCCATGAGGTTTACAGAGGTCTGCACCCCAATGTGTATGTCCTTATGACATTCTAATTGTATCACATTGGCCAAGGACGGTCATGTGCCTAACTCAACCAGGGGTCATTGTGGGAGGAGGCCTCAGAAAAACAGGAATCCTGGGAAGTGTGCCACTGGCTACCACCACAGGGTACCATTAGCCAGTGAGAAGCCCCCCAGAAAGTGGTGTGGCTATATACCCAGGAGATTTCAAAGTCAGGATATATATTGTTGGGCTGTGCTACCCAGAGATGATTTTCAGTTAGGAAATTCTAATGTTTTTCTCCAAGTTTTGTTTCTGTTGCTGTGATAAACACCCTTACAAAAAGAATTTTTGGGGGAAGGGATTTTTTTTAAGTTCATAAGTCCAGGTTACAGCCTGTAGTTTCAGGGAGGCCACAGTGGCAAGAGTTTGAAACAGCTAGTCACACTACATTCACAGACAAGAGTAGAGAGACATGGATGAATGCTTACTCACTTGTTTGATTGTTTGCCTGGTTTAGTATAATTTCTTCACTCACTTTTATACAGTTTAGGCTCTTCTTCCTGCCTAGGGAATGATGCTGCCACAGTGGACCCCATTTTCTCACATCTCTTAACTAAAGACAACTCCCCTACAAACATGTCCACAGGTCAACCCAATGTAGACAATCCCTCACTGAGACTGTCTTCCCTGGTGATTCCAGGTTATGTCAAGTTGACAAAGCTGACCATCACATCTCCCATAGCCTGATGTCCCACAGAATAATAAAGCAAGAGATGAGCAGAGTCTTTCTTGTCATGGGGTGTAGGCTTTAAGAATTTAGTGGTTGTCCCCACTCCAGCTTGCAAGTTGACATCCCCTTGCAATAATTCACTACTTCATCCCTGCTGGGGTGGCTGTCTGCATCCCACACTTTACCCTCTATCTTTCTTCTCTCTTGTCCTCAAAGATAGCAGTGGGAGAAAGGCCACAGTAGGAATATTGGCAGTTGGGTCCATGATGGTGAATGCCACAGCTTGCCAGGTTGGTTGTCTCTAAATACAAGCTGAAAATTAGTAATAATAATAATAATGATAACAATAATAATTCAATGTTGAGTGTTAGCTAGGTAGTAGCATTATTTATTTTGTTTTAAACATTATTTTATTATTTCATGTGTGTGGAGGTTTTGGCTGCAAGTCTGTGCACCATATGCATGCCTGGTACCCTCAGAGGCCTGAAGAAGGTGTTAGGTTCCCTGGAACTGGAATTATGGATAGGTGTGATAATAAAACAAAGGCTGAACCTCTCCCCCAGCACAACATATCTTCTGACTTCCATTTTGAAGTTAAGACATTTTTAAAACATATATGTTGCTTTAATTTAGCAGTTTCCATAATCCAATGTCTATTAGCAGCTATTGTTTTTTGTACATTAGCATTTAAAAAATTCAAAGTCAGCAATGCACTATACAGGATCCAGATGCCCTGTATGTTTCCCATCCTTATGTGGCTTATTCCTTTTATATTACTTTACTCTTTCTTTAAAGACTTTATTTTATTATTTTTAAACTATTTTTTCTATGACTGTCTATAACCATTTTTTACTGTATCTGTTTAAAGGTTTTCTTGGTCTGGACCTGACTTTTTGTGTGTGTGCAGCATTCCCTGACTGTGAGACAAACCTTAAATGGCCATGTCAGGTGCCACTCTGCTCAGTTTAGCACATGACTCTGGTGCATGACTCTGGTACACGGCACTGGTGGCTGGCTCCAGCCCATAGGGAGTGGCCAGGAGCTGTGTCTCTGTATGACAAGCACTGGCCCACCTAAGAGACTGCAGGACTAGGAAGCCACATCTGACTCCTTGTCCAGAACTTTTTTAGCTTTTTCAGACCCTATGACTGGATAGTTGAGCCCCAGGTTGGGTGCGCCATATGTAACGAGTCTTTTTCTGTCCCACCAGCCAGCTCCCAAATAATGACATGGAGACTTATTATTAATTATGAAAGCTCAGCTTAGGCTTGTTCCTAACTAGCTCTTAAAACTTAAATTAACTCATTTTTATGTACTGTCACGTGGCTCATGGCTATTACCTCTCCTCCTGTGTATCTTACTTGTTCTATGTCTCCTGGTGTCTCTCTCATGCCTAGATTCCTCTCCTTCTTCCTCTCTCTCTACCCAGAAGTTCCACCCATACCTCCTGCCTACCTATTGGCTGTTCAGCTCTTTATTAAACCAACACAATATCCCACAACATAACGATGCATGGAAATAATAATAATAATAATAATAATAATAATAAGCTATTATTATTATTCCCCGGCATCAATCTTAGTATTTTCGTTTTTGTTTCTTGTGTAGAAGCTTGGGCTAATCAGACTCCCCAGACTGTTGAATTGTCCATGTCTTACTTCACTAACGCATATGCTTATCCTTTTTACTTCCCACTCCTCATAGGCACACAGGCTCACAGGCTTGATGCTCACCTTCTTATACATATGCATCTCTCCAAAGCATGGATTTTGGTCTTATATGTAACATGCTACATTTACAGAAAAGGTAATAAGTGGCCAATTTTATACGGATTTTGGGCTCACCCATGATTAGAGATGTGGAAGGACCCTGGAAGGGACATAGTATCACATCTCAATGGCATCTATTTCATTCTGTTCCCATGACAACACTGACAAAGCCTGGCACTGGTGAATGGACAGTGTGTCTGACTCCATATGTCCAGCCTTTGGGGACTCCCATCTTATACTACACCATGAATCAGGGAAGGATTTTTATATACCATCAGAATATATCCCAGTGACTGTTAGCGGAGTCACAGAGTAAGGTGGCCATCATCACTACTTCTAGAATGTCCCCATCATTCCCAAAAGAAATCTCATCACTATCTAAAGTCTCACCCATCTTCCTCCCTTTTTCTCTTCCCTGTCTTGAGGTGACCACTGGTCAACTTTATGTCTCTCTGTTGTGAGATATAAATAGACATTCTGTTTCTGGACACTACATCAAGCAGGGAATCCTATAATGTGTGGCCTTCTATGGCTGGCTTCCTTCATTTAGCATAAGGTTCAAGGTTCATCCATGTTGTGGTGTGTATCAGTATTTCACTCCTTTGCATGGCTGAGCAGTATTCTGTGGCATACCTGCAGCACATTTTGTTTATCCTGTCATCTATTGATGCATTCTAGGGGAATTGGGTACTGGTCAGAGCTGCACTGGAAGGTTAGACAATGGATACGATCAAGTCAGGAGGATTTCTCAGTCAGGAGGCTAATGAGGCAAAATTAGTGTTTTCGAAACTTACTATGGCAGGACTGTGGCACTCAGGTCTGCAGGGAGGCAGAGATGGGAGTGAGGCTGGGCGGACTACAGAAATTAGGAATGGACATCAGGGAGACCTCTGTGCCAGGTGCAAGCTCCACCTCTCTCTGGCTCCTCCCAGTTCCATTTACTCACTTTTTTTTCCCTCCCCCTCCCCTCTGTCCCTCTCCTGCTCATGCTCTTTTTCCTCTCTCACTTCCTTCTCTCCTTCCTTCTTCTTCTCTCTTCTTTCCCCCATCTCTCTCCCCCTTTCATTCTCTCCCCTCTTCTATCCCTCTTGATTTCCTTTCTCCTCCACCTCCCTCCTTTCCTAGTCCCCTCATCAGTTTTCCTTCCTTCCTTTCTCTCTACCCCTCCCTTTCTGATTCTCTTTTCATCCCACTCCTTGCCTATTTCCTCCTCTCCCCTCCCTTTTCCTCTCCCTCTCTCCCTCCCTTACATAAAGCCAAGAGCCTGGAAGCATAGCTCATCTCAGGCAGAAGGCCAGCGTGCTCTCAGCCCTGTCTCCTATTTCCTCCTGCACTGCTGCTGAGGATCAGCTGGTCACACGCCTTCCTGGAATGTGCATGATGATAATTGCCTCTTGCACAATTATCTGCCAAGCCCTGTCGGTAATGAAATGAATGATTTAGTTATCCTTGTTAGGAATAGCCCACAAAGCTCAGAAACTCATTATTGCAGCCACGAGGCTGGCAGGAATGCCCTCCGAGGCACCTGCGAGTGAGCGGCTTTTACAATTAGCTCTCTCTTTTCTGCCAGAGACCACAGGCCCACCCTGCCCCCACCATGAACCAAGGGCTGGAAGCATTCTAGGGGAAAACCAATAAATAAGCCTGAGGCTGAGGTTCAGCTGCAGATCTTACTGGACAAGCACAGGGCCTTGGGCTTGATGTCCATCACTGCAAGACATACGAGGCTGGACTGGGCTTCTTGTCTGCCAGCTTTGACCCACACAACATGAAACTGCTTTCTCCCAGTGCATGGAAAGGCTTAATCCAAGCTCTGTGGTGATGAGCATGGTGCAGAGGCCACTAGGGTTCTGAAGAAAGCGTCCTTGGCCAGCTAAATGCAGGGCTCACATTCTACCCCATGATCCCATTTCACACTGCCTCTCTGGAGGCTTTTCTTGTCCGTTGTTTCATAGTGATGGTTCAGCCTTTTCCCCTGCCTCAGCCTTTCTCTACTGCCTGTAACTGCTGGGTCTCAAGGGTAAGGAGGACGAAGAAAGGCAGATAGAGATGGGTGTGGCTGGGGAAAGTTGAAGCCAGGGATGCAGAGACACATGGTGTTTGAAGGAAGCTGTACCACACGAATCTCCACATGTGCCCATGTGTTCTCTTCTTGCTTTCTGGAAGATTCGATTCAGAAGTAACTTCTTTGGGATGGGGGAAAAAAAGCCCCCACAGTTTTAGTTTAGCTTTGAAGCAGAAACATTGCTCATTGACCACCCCTAGAGCAGCACACCTCAGAGGCTTGCAAGATGGGGTGAGTGCCTACACCCAGCCTGGCTCCACCCTCTTCATGGCTCCAGTCTGGATAAGTGATGTGGAAGGACCCTGGAGGGGACATGGCATTACATCTCATGCAGCCCAGCATGTGCAGCCCAGCATGGTTCTAGGTAGCCACTGTCCTTTCCACATCTTGAAGTCTCTTCATCATCTTGACCCCAGGTGTGTAAACTGGAGAGTTCCCTGACCGTGGTCCTTTGCGTCTTTACAGGGTTACAGGGCACAGTCTGTCAGAAGGGGAAACTGAGGCACTATTTTGTAAAGAGTCTGGTGGGAGGAGATGCACTGTCGTTGCTGTGGAGCCAGGTGCAGGAGTCCACAGACCAGTTTAGTTCTAAATTGGGTGTTGCTCTTCCTCTTGTGAAGTGAGGAGGGTGGAGCTTATGAACGAGAGTTCTATGGACAGCCATTTTAATCTCGGCTCTGTAGGTGCAGGTTGAGGGAGGTAGTGGAAGGAAGACTTGATCTGGAGTTTGTGGTGACTACAACTTTCCTGCAAATCGTTGCTACATGGGGAACTAGAGGAGAGGTGAGGATTCAGTAGGTTGAGAAAGGCAGAGGCCTAATCCTTCATCTCCGTGAGAAAGGGACAGGAAGGAGGAGTTACGCTGGGGCAGACAGGCTACAGGGTGCTGGTGATGCCCATGCATACTGCTTCTAGTTAGCACCACTGACGTTTATTTTTATTTTGAGATGAGACCTTGCCATGTAGTCCAGGTCAGTCTTGAGTTCACGTCTACATGGTAAGAGCACCTTTGCAAGAGAAGACATCGTGAGACAGTCCACACTGGGACAGTAGAAGACTGCCCACCTCCTTGTGGTACTGTCCACTCTGAGTTCCTCCTGACCCCTGCCCTCCGTGGTGCCTCTTATTCTCTTTGATTGTAAGAAGAGCAGGGTGTCCGGTCAGAGTGGACACCGATAGCTTTAGGGACTGTGTGTGTGTGTGTGTGTGTGTGTGTGTGTGTGTGTGTGTGTGTGAGTGTGTGTGCCTGTGAATGTGTGAAGGGGCTGGGGCTCACCAGCAGACCAGAGCACAGGATCAGAGAGTTTCCGGGTGAGGTGGGGCAAGTCTGGAGTCAGCCCAGAGGATGCTTGAGCCACACTCCTGTCAGTCAGCCTGCACAGAGGATGCTTGAGCCACACTCCTGTCAGTCAGCCTGCACAGAGGATGCTTGAGCCACACTCCTGTCAGTCAGCCTGCACAGAGGATGCTTGAGCCACACTCCTGTCAGTCAGCCTGCACAGAGGATGCTTGAGCCACACTCCTGTCAGTCAGCCTGCACAGAGGATGCTTGAGCCACACTCCTGTCAGTCAGCCTGCACAGAGGATGCTTGAGCCACACTCCTGTCAGTCAGCCTGCACAGAGGATGCTTGAGCCACACTCCTGTCAGCCTGCACAGCTGGAGCAGCACTCGTGGTTGCACTCGCTGAGGAGCCAAGAGCAGCCCTGGAAGGAGTAAGTAAAGTAGTGGAGGACCAGAGGGTTTGGTGGGAAGTGGAAGGATCCCGGGATGCTCAGTCATAGCCGGCCTTAGAGTATGAGACAAGAAGAAAACTGAAGAGGGGGTATCTTTGCGCCTGTCCGTCCCCGGCCTCCACCCCCTACTTGATGCACATATCCATATCCCAGTCCCTTGAACCCTGTCATCTTGAAGCCACTGCCAGGGGCTGGAGATCCCAAATAGAGCAACCAAGGGCAAGCACAAGGACCAATGTAACCAATAGCATGTCCTGCAGTATACGGACGGTGCGTGTTGGGTGTCCCAAAGCAAGCCCGGACATCAGTGGCTGTGTCAGGGTGATGGAGAGGGGATCCTAGGTTCATAGACGTACAGAGGGAGGCAGGAAGTGCAGGCAGCAAGGGTTTAGACAAGATGCAAATCCTGCTTCTACTTACAGGTGCTCACTTGGCATACCCTGGAAAGCTGTGGAATATACAAGCCCGGCCTCAGACAACAGAGGTAGGAGACAGTGTCAGGCAATGGGGATTTTCATTTGTTTACTCAGCTGACCTGCCGTTCTGAGGCTAAGAGGTGGGGCTGAGCATGTTGTGGAGCTGGCTAAGGGACGGATGGGGTGGGGAGCAGCCATCCAAACTGCCATTGTCCCGCTTTGCTTCTCTGGATTCAAGGACGTGCCTGGTTTCTGGTCCGTATGCCGCTCCCAGAGAACCTAAGAAGCTTCTTTGTTCTCAGCCTTCTCCAGGTAACAGTGGGCCCTGTGGTTTTGGTCCCAGAAGGACCCTCGGGAGCTGGCAGGATCCCTTGCCTACAGCTTGGGCCTGGTGTTCTTTCCAGGCCATATATTCTAAGAGATGTAGGTCCATTCCTTTTGGGGGCTCCTAAGGGATGAGTCGGAAGGCTTTGGAGGAATCACTGTAATGCCTAAGACCCCTGTTTCATTGTCTCTGGCCATTCCAACCTTAGTGAACCATCTTAACTGAAATCAGTGAGGTCTGGCAGCCAGACAGCCAGTGTGGAATTCGCCATGGCTTCAGACGCCACTGCCACTACCATTTCTTCCGGCTGCTGCAAACCTCTGCCCGGCTCTCTAAGCCCACATGTGTGGCCCTTCCTTAGATCCTTGGGAGCCACTACTCCAGAGGTGCACAAGGAGCTTTTACTGTGTCCAACACAGCATCTACCCCAGGGGGCTCCCAGTGGGGACTGGGGCAGGGGTGTCAGTTGATGTAGGCGACTATTAGTCAGGGGAGACAGACGGTTAAAGGCGCAAACTGTGGGCATGTAGGGAGGCAGCACCTGCCTCTGGGCAAGGGCTTTTCATGTGGCAGCAGCTCGTGTTTGTCACGAGCAGGAGACCGCCCTGGGCTCGTAGGTCTTCATGACACCGATGGTCAAGGCACCAAAGGTGCAGAGATCAAGCACATTCCAGAGGTCAGGACGCAGAGGCAGGATGCGAAGCCAGGTGCTCTGGCTGTAGAGCCTGTATCCCCATCCCCCATCCATAGCCTCTAGAGGAGCCAGTGAACTAGCCTGATGATGCAAGGCCCACCTGCCTCCTTCTTATTAGTTTGCTGTCTGCCAAAATGGCAGAGTGACCTACTCCAAACACCAAAGGACCTCACACCACCTTCGTGGGTGGCTGAATACTTGGCTGAGGCTGAGGCTGAAGGCCCGTGGTTGCCCCTCCTTCTGCTAGCCCAGAGCCTGTGGAGGAGGCACCTCGGGGCTCTGGCTTTCCCTTGCCCATTATTTATTTCTGTCTCCCTCCTAACCTGCAAAGTTGAAAGGTAGGGCCCTTGACTTAACAAATCTCTTTAAAGACAGGCCCTTCAGAGTGGCTGGTACTGTATGGGGGACACTGATACCACACAGGACACAGAATGTGCCCTAGAGAATGTGTCATTTTAATGGGAGAACCAGCCACTCTTCCTGCTGCCACTCTCCTCCTTGGCAAACCCCGCCTCACCCATGCCACCTTCATGCTCAGAATCCTCAGTAGTTCCCGTCGCTTCCATGACCCTGGAGGCAGGTGTTCTATCAGTGTGACTTGGTGCTCCAAACAGTGCTCACACGGACAAGAGCTGAGCCAATCAACACAGCACTGTCAGATAAATAAATAAGTAAATGGCAGAAGCCACATTCCTTAACCAGCCCCCAGCCCCATCCTGAACTACCCCCTCTTCCTCAATTCTGGTGGGTGGCCTGCTTCCCTGGGCAGGGATCTCCATCCACCTGTAGATGCCCAGGAGCTCAGTGCACTCAGGTGCCATACATCCTTGCTCTGGCAAGAAATGGTATCTCCTCCCATTTGTTGAAGTTTGTCCATCTCCAGTCGACCCCTGACCTATAGAACAACTCTGTTCTCTTGGCACCAACCTTGGAGGTTGGAATGTGTCTTCCGTCCTTGGGCAGGCTTGGAGCTCCTTGTGGATAGGAAGGATGTGGGTGCAAACTTTAGTTCAGCCAGCTCCTTGGTGCCCAGCAAGGACACACACACACACACACACACACACACACACACACACACACACACACACACACACTGTCTTGGACACAGTGGAATGCTCTCATAGCATCACTGTGTCAGTCTTCCCAGACATGAGTGCCAGAGTATCCTGAGCAAACGTGACTTTGTGACTTGATCCTCACCTTTGTCCCAGTCCTTCACGTTCACTACTGCCTGGCTCCTGGCTGACCACAGCTTGCTCACTCTGCCAGTCACTCAACTATGGTGGGCTGGGGCTGAGGACACGACAGGAAGTTGGGGAGAAAAGCACGTCCCAGAAGAACCAACGTGAGTGGAGTGAGATGGTGTTCCTGGGACCTTCCGACAGGTCAGTGAACAAGCTCCCGTGGAGTTTTACCAGTTTGGGTGTCCGCGCTGCTGGTTCTTTGCCATGTGACATGGAACTCTCCTGGGAGTGTGGTGGTGGGGGACTCAGTTTGTACATGTGAATGGAGAGTTACAATACCTACCCACTAAAGGGAATGTTTGGAAAGAGGGTTGAACTAGAGGATGCCTGGGCATTTCTCAGCCTGGCAGAGCTTGGTCACAGCCAAGGGACAGTCACATCATTATTGCTAATGGTTCTATTTCAGCCAGAAGCAGAGTGAAAGTTTCTGGATTGGAAAATCCGATCTGAGGCCCAACAAGTCACTGGATGGAAAATGGGTGTAGCATCATGGGACCTGGGCAGGGCCTTAGTGTGAGAAAACCAGCTGCCGGGAGAGAGAGCCAACCTGGTTCTTAGCCTCCACCCCACACGTGGCAACCAAGAACTCACTTTGCTTTTCTCTCCATTTCTTTCCTCTCTCCTTTTGTTTGACTTTTTCATGGTTGGGGATTGAACCTGGGCATCACGCACGAACTCTGCCATGGAGCTATGTCTTCAACTCTTTCTGTTTTTATTTTTAAGACAGAGTCTTTTACTAACTCACCCAAGCTTGTCTTGAACTCATAATCCTCCTGCCTCAGTCTCCCTAAATAGCCGGGATTACAGGCCTGGCTAAGAATCTGAGTTTTCAATGAACAAAATCCTTCCATGATCAAGGTTGGCCTTAGCATATTTGGAAGTCCTTTTGTGATCACCCCAGGAGCTTCTCCCCTTCTTTTCTAAGCTAATAGCCATCTGCCTGCAGACAGGTAGACACCGTGGGAACAGAAGGCCCACAGAAACAGCTGGTTGACCTCCCCTGGTTAACCCTGTCAGTAGGATATAGTCTCACCGAACTTCCCCTTCATGACCAGCAGATGGCGAGCGTGTGTTAGTGCTGCTGAGTCCTGGATGCCATGGAATTGTGAGGTAAAAATCCTCCACCTGCTCCTCTATGGAGTTCTATCAGGCAGGTCTGGGTAGCATTCCAGATATCCAGTGAAGATGTCTTCCTCCAGCTGGATGTAGAAGCTTTGTTCCCAGTACTTGCAGAAAGAAATGCTGAGATACTGAGGTAGCATCTCCCTACCACAAGAGTTCTTGGGTTCCTCACTCTTGACCTATGCACCCACATAGAGGCGGGTACCTCCCACCTTCTAGCAGCTGGATTCTAGATTAAATTAAAATGGAAAATGAATAATTTAAACAGAAATATTATGGCAAAGATCACCAGACAGCAAAGCCTGTCTTTGCTTTTTGTTTTTGTTTTTTGTTTTTGTTTTTGTTTTTGTTTTTGTTTTTTTGAGACAGGGTTTCTCTGTGTAGCTTTGGAGCCTGTCCTGGATCTTGCTTTGTAGACCAGGCTGGCTTCGAACTCACAGAGATCCACCTGGCTCTGCCTCCCGAGTGCTGGGATTAAAGGCATATGCCATCACCACCAAAGCTATCTTTACATGTCAGTCAGGGAAGGAGCCCGGCTGGGAAACCCAGAGGGTCTGCAGGACCCTGTGGATGGATCAGTTCATAATTCATTTGTGGTAGTGTGGAAATAAGGGGCCTTTTTCTTATAAGCCTCTTACATGGTTCATTGCCAGGGTTCTGGGAGGCAAGATGGGATGTCAGAAGGAGCATAGTCTCTGAAGACAGACTACTTAAATCCCAGTTTGGCCATGTATTATTAGTTGTGTGCCTTTGGACAAGAGTCTAAATTTTTGGAGACCCAGTTTCCTTATCTGAAAGGCAGAAGCCTCAAAAACATAAATTGCAAACTATTATGTATTGTTTAAATGATTTTAGAGTCATATAATGAACTTGACATACTGTAGGTGCTAAATAGATGTTAATAAATGGCTGCTGACATTTGTTTTGTTTCATTTTACGTTTTCCTTCAGTAAAGTGAGTTAATCACCTGTCCTTTCCAAAGGGGTGTCTGAAGTTCTAGAAGACGAGCCTGGAGGAAGAAGGCCCCAAGAATGGACACGATTCCCTCCTCCCTCTCCAGGTCTTCCTTCTATAAGGACCTACGTCAGCTCACCTTCCAGTGTGTCTGTTGACATGGCACCATGCTCTTCATCTGATGGGCCAGAGTCCAGTGTGCTCTGCCTGGGAAGGTGAGTGATGTTCCTGTGGAGGTTCAGCCTCTCATGGGGCAGGTCTCTGCTGGGCTGAGTGACAGCTTGGGAGGTGGGTGTCTGTGCCAGCACAGCTTGTCTCTGAGCTGGCCCTTCCCTGAGGTCATGAGGCCAGGCCTTTGTTGCTCCTTAGTGCCTTCCAGGAGCTCAGGCAATAGCCCAGAGAGTGAAAGGGGGTTATGCATACACTCACATAGCATTCTGCTCCCCCAGCCCTCCATCATGATCTTAGCTGGTTCACTCCAGATCTCAGGTAAAATCTTACTGATGATTTTCTCTGCAGATTTGCAGGAGTGTTCCCAGCTGTGACGAGGCTCTCTCCCACCTCTCTCTGCAGCCTTCTTCAGTGGATGCTTAGTTTTTTTGGCATACATCTTCAGAACCTGTACTGTGGACTGGCAGCCTGGGGCCTCTCATAGGTTCTGTCTATAGGGGAAACATCTTTTATGGTGATATTTTATTTGTACTGAAATGTGATTTTATTTGCATGTTAATAAATAAAGTTGCCTGGGGGTCAGAGCTAATAGCAAGCCATAGCAGAAGCTGGGTGGTGGTGGTGCACGCCTTTAATCCCAGCTCTTGGGAGACAGAGCGAGGCGGATCTCTGTGTGTTCAAGGATACAGCCAGCATGGAGACACACGCCTTTAATCTCAATACCAACCATAGAAGACCTGGAGGTCTGTATAGACAGGCAGTGATGAGGAGGTCATGTGGTTGGGTTTACAACCAATGAGAAGGCAGAATAGAAAGTCTATAAAAAAGACAGACAGACAGGAAGTAGCTCTCTTGCTGAGGAGGACAGAAGCGGCAATGAAGGGTAAGGTTTTTTTAGCTCTGACGTCTTGGGCTTTCATCTTTGCATTGGCTCTGTGTTTCTTATTTAATAAGATGGTTACACCTACAATCTTTCATCCTCTGGCTGGTGAGAAGACCCTGTTAGCTCCAGGATTCTGGGCTGAACCCTCAGCTATGTTTTGAGTTACACCCGTGTCCTGATACCTAATCATGAACAGGTCTTTCTTATCCCAGGGTCTTCCTTGGTCTCCCTACGTGTCAGAGTTTCAGTAGCTACCTCCTTTGTTCTTTGAACTAACCATCATGAATGAGCATGATAGAAAACTTTTAACAGGTGACCAGGTCTCATTCCCATCACCTACAATGTGAGTGCTGCAGCTAGACGGCCACTAAGCACAAGCATCCTGTGACCCATGACTGCTGATCGAACACAGGTGCCTGAGTACCCTGAGGCTTAGGGACCATCACTGACAGATATTGGTGACAGTCTGAGGTATCCCTCATAGGAACTGGGAGTCACTCAGCTCACCATCAGTGTTAGCATGACAAAAATGGATGACTGGTGGGGGTAGCTGATGAGGAGAAGGAGCAAGAAGATTCCTGGGATCATGGGCTGGGGCTTGAGTTTTTTGTTTGTTTGTTTCTGAACAGTGGGAGGTCTTGCTTCTGCTGGTGGACAAGGGGACTAAACAAGAGGGACCCAGGAAGGGAGTTGTCCCTCCTCAGGATGATTTCTGATGCTCTCTCCCTTAACTCCTATGCTTTATTTCTTCTAGGATCAGTCTGTGGCCATCACTGCTCACTCTCTGCCATCTCTTCACCAAGTACTGCTTACAGATGAATTTCACAGCAACCATGGTTTTCCATGTTGGCCTCATCATCCTTTTCTTCAGCTTCCACCAGAAGACATCCCTCAAGGGACACTGGAAGAGGCCGGCTTAAATAAAGAGTAGGACCAGAGACCAAGACCAGCAGAGGTATCTTCATGGAGACCTGGGCAGAGGACAGCAGAGCTCTCAGCTCTCTCCCCGCCCTGCCCCAAGAGCTGCAGCTCATCCAACGAAAGAGGAAAATCTCCTCCCTTCTAGAGTTCAGGAGGAATGAAATGGACTCAGGCTTCATACCCACTGCTCACATGGATTTATACTATCTGTGAACCTCCTGCCTCTACTAGATATAGTCCTTTAATGGAAGGAACTGTCTTTTTTTCTGTGGCCACTATACTGGGCACCCACTTCATCTCAAAAATGCACCTCTAAGGCTTGGATTCTACAGCTGGTGGTCATGGCCACTGGTAAAGAACAGGCCTGGGTGTGGACAAAGTCAAGGATGGCTTGCCATCTGACTTGAAGTGGGAAACTTACTTGGTTTCCGATGTGGCTATGAACAACTACCCCCTCCCACACACAGCTTTTAGCTCACCACCCTCAGCATGGGTGTGTGTAGTTGCATGATTCCATAGCACGTTATTAGGGTGAGAGAAAGGGATATATGCATGGATCAGAATTGTTTGCTGTCAACATGTGGATTTTTCTGCTTTGTTCAAATGTCAAATAAATATTGACAAATGAAATCATCTGAGATCAACGGTTCTCCTTTCTCAGTGGGAGATACTAGAGTCCACTAAGAACTCTGAATGTAAACTGTGCAAAAAGCTTCTACAGAGGAATAAGGGGACAGTTGAGAAATGGTTGATCTTCATTTATTTTCACATATAGAAGTCTCCTGAACCCCCTCCCTGCCCATCAAGACCCGAGGCAGGTGGGAGAGCTGGCCCCCGGGGTCATAAAAGCAGGAGAGCTGCCGGGCAGTGATGGCACACACTTCTAATCCCAGCACTTGGGAGGCAGAGTCAGGTGGATCTCTGTGGGTTCAAGGCCAGCCTGGTATACAGAGCAAGATCCATGACAGGCTCCAAAACTACACAGAGAAACCTTGTCTCAAAAAACCTAAGAGGAAAAAGAGAGAGAGAGAGAGAGAGAGAGAGAGAGAGAGAGAGAGAGAGAGAGAGAGCAGGAGAGCTGTCCCTGTCCCCCACCAGCTGCAACACTCGGAAGAGCAGACCCTGCACCTCACCTGGGCAACACAATAGAGCCAATCCTATTGGCAGAGGTGTGGATGAGCCAGTCCAGAAGTTGTAAGCATGGGAGAGCTGTCCCCATTACTCATCTGTCATGTGGTGGCGTGGGTTGGGGAAAGATGCCTCTATCTACCCATCAATGCCTGAAGCATGTGGAAGAGCTGATCCTTACTTTACTTGGGGATTTGTTGAAGTTTACTGTCTTCTGTATATATAAAAATAATATTTTTTAAAATGTCCAAAATTTAATCTCTATCTATCTATCTATCTATCTATCTATCTATCTATCTATCTACCTATCTATATCTATATCTATCTATCTATCTATCTATCTATCTATCTATCTATCTATATTTGGTTTTTCGAGACAGGGTTTTTATGTGTAGCTTTACGCCTTTCCTAGAACTCACTTGGTAGCCCAGGCTGGCCTCGAACTCACAGAGATCCACCTGCCTCTGCCTCCTGAGTGCTGGGATTAAAGACATGCACCACCACCACCCGGCCCTATATTTCTATATTATACTACTGAATATTTTCTTGATTTTCTCTTTTTTTTTTCTGGAGCTGAGGACCAAACCCAGGGCCTTAGTACTTGCTAGGCAAGGAGTCTACCACTGAGCTAAATCCTCAACCCTATTTTCTTGATTTTAAAACTCATTCCCCTTCCCCCCCACATACACTGCTTTAAAGTGGAATTGCCAGGGTCACTGCTTTGACTTCCTGGTTGTCCCTCTGCAGCAGTGAGGAGGACAGTGAGAACCTCAGAGCCGCTCCAGACCAAGGGTGGGCCACATCCAATTCTTCCAGTGCTGCCAATGGACACAGCACTAGCCTGTGGATGTGTGAACCGGACACCTTTTCTCCTCAAATGAGAGAAGTGAGCCTGAGAGGCTTAGAGGCTAAGTGACTTACTTGTTCAAGGTGACCCAGAGTATGAATGATGGAGTGCCACCTGAACACAGGCTTGTCTTATTTTGGTTGGATCCTATTCCCTAAGAGTGCTTGGAGGGTGACAGGGTCAAGGGCTGAGTTCCCCGGAAGGAAGTTCCTGAGTAAGCTGGAGTCTTTACAAATATCCATCATGAGGTGAGCACAGATGTGGCCCAGCTGTGCACCTTGGCAGCTGAGTTCTATCTTAGTACACAATATTATTTCATTTTTAGTGTTTGCAAAGTGCTCCTGGCAGCTGAGGAGCATAAATTGATGCCTTTCTTATGCCTGCTTTCCTTCCTGGGCTGTGAACACAGAGGCTAGAGTTGACCTACGAGAGAGCAGCCAGCAGGTGGTGCTGTCTCAATTAAAGCAGGCCACTCCTGCCTGTGACATGACAGTAAACTGGTCCCCAACATTTGCCTCATGGAGGCCCCACCCTTTGGTGACTGTCTCATGAGAACCTGCACAGGTCTGGGACTGCTCCAGGCTCTCGTTAACACACACTGGGACACTGGCTTCTCTCCATCCAGCCTTTCAGTGACTCGAGGTAGCCAAGGGCATGATGGAAGAAGAACACTGGACTAAACCAGTAAGAACCTTCCTCTGGCCTCTGTTCCTCAGAAAGGCCCTGATGACACTCCCACCACTAGGAGTGACCATGGCCATGCCACTTGCCACTCAAGACCCGCCCTCCCAATCACCTTATTTGAACTAACACTCAGTGTCCAGATCTATAAAGTAGGGTTACTTGCAGCACCCACCTCCCAGCGTTTACTGTGTTGGCAGTGACATTCTGTTCTGACTCAGTTTACCTGGAGACAGGGTCAGATATAGAGGGTGAATGATTGACTTATGAACCCAGGCTGCTTCACCTGTGCTTCTGATCTGATGCCCACAACCCCCCTCCAGACAGACCTGTAGACCTTGGTGAAATGCATGTATTTACCTATTCAATCTAAAGGCTGCAGATAAAGAGATGCACAGAGGAACAAGGTATGGGGCCTACAGAATGCACTCCAGGGACCCAGATGTCTTCAGCATGCAAGCTCCCTGAACTCAACTCTTTGACATTTTCATGGAGTTTTCATTGCATGGACACAGCTGATGAAGTTGTTAGCTGCTAGTGACAAACTGACGTCAGTCTCTCTGTCCTCCTAGTCCCCACCAGCCCTCAAGTCCTGCCTTAGTTCTTCCAGTGACAAGCCCCCATCCTGAAGCTCCCTAGGGGCTTCAGTCTTCAGACCACTCATTGTTCTGGAGAAAAATCCACCCCTTTGAAGATTCCAAGGATCTTAGGGGTTGTATTCTAGGACATGGAGCTGAAAGACAAGCATCATGACTATACAGCTCAGTTCATGTATTCTACGTGAACTTGCATTCTACATGGAACCTAAGATAACCTATAAACTCAAAACTACGTTTCCATCTTCTAGAAGGAAGAACAAAGGTTTGGACAGGTTCATTTACCTGTCCACATCATGTAACTAGTAATACCAAGTACAGACCGGGGGAACTAGAGAGATGGCTCAGTGGTTAGGAACACATACTGCCCATGCAGAGGACCGGAATTCCCAGCACCCATTTCAGTCAGCTCACAACCATCTGTAACTCTGGTTTCAGGGCATCTGCCACCTTCTTCTGGCCTGCAAGGGCAACTGTACTCCCATGAAAATACCCCCACATAGACACACATGCATACACATAATTAAAAATAAAAATAAAAAATGTAAAAGCAAGAAGTGTAAGGCGGCACTCCAGCCTTAATCTTTTGTCTCCCAGTGGCAAGCTCTTTAATTCCATAGAGGGTTAGCAACCTTCTTTCCTCACCTCTGAGACACACACACACACACACACACACACACACACACACACACACACACAGAGAGAGAGAGAGAGAGAGAGAGAGAGAGAGAGAGAGAGAGAGAGAGAGAGAGAGATATGTAAGATCGCAGCTCACGAGGTTGGTAAATGACTTCCACTAATCTAGTAAAATAATCCAGGACTTCTAAGGGGCCATGAAGCTCATGCAACCAGACATAGGGGCTGCTGTCAGCCATTTCTTTGTTGGTAGAAACAAAGGTGAGGACTTCTGAGACCTCCAGTGGGTGGTGCCTGGACACGAGCCGACTAAAATTCCTCATCATGACCCTTGATATTAGAGTCCTGCTAGCAGCATCAGCTGGCTGAAAATAAGTCAGTTATTTTCCCCAGATTAATAAAAAAGAAGCAGGGTAGGAGGGTGGGATCGATCAGTGGGCTGAGGAGTCGAGGGATAAGAGAAGGCACACGTTAAAATAGCAGCAGATGAATACCATGTAATTTCAAACAGTCGATAACGTCACGCTGAAAGGCTGGTATGTCCGCTGAGATAATTGCCCTTTTCCCGATTAGCGTCTTTATCAGGAAAAGAAATGATTGCTGTGTGTGAGAAATCATGCTGCCTCTCGTTTCACAGAAGCGGCAGTAATGAGAGCCCAGGCTCCCAATGTGTGGGCTATCCACACACACAGAGCCTTTGAGGAGTAGGCATGGGATAAGTCAGTTTTCGGGATCACTGTTCATCTTCCAGGGGTTATGGGGGAGACTACTGACTGAGCTGGATCTCATGTGTCTGGGTTTGAAACCAAAGACTCTCCAATCCCTCAACAGGGCAAACATCCTCATGTTTCACGACTGTAAGAGGCAATTTGACAAGCTCACCTCTTATTTCCCTTGCAGCTTTCCAAGTTAAACTCCGAATCAGCAGGCATACTCCCTAGGGTCAGCACAGTGTGACAGTACAATAATCACCCATTAAGGATGTCCGCATCTTCATCCCCAGAACCTGTGAACATGCTACTTTGTGTGGTAGAAGAGGCTTTGCAAATGTGAGTGCATTTTAAGAATCGTCAACTAGGAAATGTTTTGGATGAGATGGGTGGAGTGAATGAAATCACATCTTCTTCAGACAGAAGAGGATGAAGATGGGTCGGGCAAAGAGGTGTAACCAAGGATGAAAAGGGAGCCATTAGCCAGGGAATGCAGGTGGTCCTGAGAAGTTGGAACAGACCGGGAAGTGAATGCTCCTAGAGTCCCTAAAAGGCATCAGACCTGCTGAAATTTTGATTTTAGTTTAAAGAGTGTAATTTTGAACTTCTAGCTTCTGGAACAGCAAAATACTGAGTTTACTCTTGGCAGATTGTTATAGCAGCAATGAAAAGCTGATACTGCCTAGGAAGGCCTAGGGCAGATGATGTCAACACCAAGATGTCAACATCTCAGATGACACAAACTAGGGTCATCTGAGATGAGGAAACATCACCTGAGAAAATACATCCATAAAACCTGCCTGTAGGCAGGCCTGCTGGGCTTTTCTTGATTGATGATTGATGTGGGAGGGCCGAGCTATCATGGTGGTCCGGGATGGTATAAGAAAGTGCACTAAGCGATCCATAGGAGCAAGTCAGTAAGCAGCATTTCTCTGCTGTCTCTGCTTCTGTTCCCGCCTCCAGGTTCCTGCCTCAAGTTCCTGACCTAACTTCCCTCAGTGGTGGAGTGCGCTCTGAAAGCTGTAAGCAGAAATA